ACAACCCAGTTAAATCCCACAAGAGTAGGGTCTGGGGAGGGTGTGTGTACGCAGACCTTACCCCTACTCGAAAGTAGAGAGGCTGTTTCCAAAGAGACCCCCGGCTCAACGTCGAAAGTTGCATTGCTTGACTAACTGCTACTTCATTAATTAAAGAAGCGCAGACAGTTTAGAGATCCATTTTGATTTATTCCATCACACCCCAAAGCCAAAAAAATGGTGAAAATTTGGCTCCATCGGAGATGATGGAAAGCCCCCCCCCCCGGTACAGGAGCTATATTGATAGGGCAGTATAAGGACAAGGCATATGATAAACCCCCAAGGGAAGTCATTGCGGGACGTCGGAAGCAAGAGGTGTGGATGTGACTTATATTAGAGCAATCAGGGACATTTATAAACTATGAAGCCATCAAGACTCGGGTAAGGTTGTGGGAGAGGACACGCAAGACTTTCCCATCTTGATGAGTTAAATTAAGGATCAACCTTGGCCCTTTTTTAGTTGTCCCGACAAACTGCAAATTCAGAAACTTTACTGTGGAGTAGGCTGTTTGCGGGTTACATAAGGGATAGGCTGGAAGCTAAGAGAGTGACTCTAGAATATAAAGGGTTCGGGTTGAGCAAGACCAAGGCCCCATTTGGCAACAGCATTAGAAATTCGTGTTAGGGTTTTGAAAAGGCTACCTAACGGCAGCGTTCGGCATTATTGTTTTCAAAGTTGATCTACACCATTAAAATCTTATCTTAAATGCTAACGCTAATTGAAAATGATGTTTCCAAACAAGGCTCAAGAGAGAGTACATGTATTTATATTCAGTGATGCAGCACAAGATTTGGAAGTGAATGTAAAGATTGAAATGTGGACTGTGGACTATCCCGAAGAGAGGAAGATTTGAGCTCGTTAGGTCCGTAATACAAGGGAACAGGATACTCATGATGATGTCACAAACCATTAGGCCTGTAATACAGGGTAACGAGGACATTGATGATTATGTCACACACCATATTGGAGTGAGGTAAGCAAAGTGGAGCCGTGGGGTTCACCCTTTGGGTTGATTTGAGTTGATTTGTGATAGGAAGGTGTCACCTTGGTTGAAGGGCAAGTTCCATGTTAGACCAGCATGGTTGTATGGGACGGAACTCACTAAATATTGAATGGTTACTGGTTAGGCATGCTCACATAGAGAGAAGATGAAGGTCACGGAGATGATAATGCTTAGATGGAAATGTGGACATACAAAGTGAGATATGATCACGAATGAAGTTATACACAACAAAGTCAGAGTGGTCTACTGGTCTTTATGGTAGATAAGATGACAGAAATTGAGACTGTGATGGTTCAGCCACGTGAAGAGGAGAAGTGATGATGCGCTAGTGAGCTAGTCAAGAGGTGTGAGAATTTAATAATTATAGGATTTAGGAGAGGTAGAGGTATGCCAAAAAAAGAACTAGGGAGGTTATTACTTATTACACGCACACATGGCATGGCTAAACTAAAGCTGATCGAGGACATGAACTTAGAAAGGAAACTCTGGCATTCAAGACTTAGGACAAAGGGGTAATAATTTGCTCAGCCTGTCGCTCTTATTTGAGAATGAGAACTTGGAACCAGCCCTTCCATCTTTGATGTTAGTAGTCTTAGGGATGGCATAAAGTTGTTCTCTTTGTGGACTAAATTGAATGAGCCACATATTTCTATCCTTAAAAGGATTGAGAATATTAATTTGGGACACCTAAAAAAGATAATGGGAAGATGACTTTTGGGATGGAGGTAGTATTTTGTAAGTCCAACACAAAACATTAGATTCATGAAAACCCACACAAGTCAAAATACAAACTTTAAGGGACAGCAGGAGCAACAAAATATAACTATTCAAGCATTGAAATCATCATCCTCCCCCATCATGCACAAAAATTCCATATTCACTATACTGTTCATCCATTTCATCATTAACCTCATTACCATCTAGCACAAGAGGCTGGCAGAGGTTGTAGAATCCTATAGGAGCCAAGAGATGCAGAGATTTGTGTGCGATATCTTTGAATCAGTTAAAAACCAAGCCTTTATACTATTTTGAATCTCTTTAAATGATTAAGTTTGGTGCTAGTGAGGCACGCCTCAATCACTCCCCGCCACATTCTCACAAGGCATTGAGAGTTGTGGCTAGGCATGAGGGCCAGTCACATAGCTTGAGCACATTTCATGGTGCATAACTGCACAATTCAGACATCTGCTACATAGGTCTATAACTGCATAAAAATATACAAAATCACGGGATTGATAGAAGATATGCATGGTGTTTCGAAAGAAAAGCTCTAACAGAGGATCTGTGGATTAGTGTTCCAGATTTGGGATTTCGACCCCATCTAACAGTTAATCAATGACAAAAAAACATCTACTAATCGTGATTCATATCTGGAAATAGAAACGATAAATCGATGCTTTCTGAGAGTTATTTGGCAAGTAAGGTTGAAGAAAGTTGAAGCAGGGAAGACTGGAAGATGGAGGGGAGCAGAAGAAATACCTGTGGAAGAAGGGGTGAATTTGGGGACCAGGGCGGAAACGAAGGTGGTGAAATCGGGGGATGGCTTCTTACCCTTTTGGATGTGGTGATGATTCCAGGCCGGGGGAGAATAACTGTTGTTGGGCTTAGGACATTTGACTATGAGAAATTAGACTTATAATGCGTTATTCGGCCCAATCCAAATTTAGGGGTAGATTTTTTAGAAAGCCCTTTGTAATATTATTATCGTTATCCAAAGATTATGGTTAATGGGAATAATACTTGTTATTGATTTTAATTCACCAGTGGGATATATTATTGTTTTAATTTTAAAAGTAATTTTAAAAATTAGGGTATAAAAAAAATAAAGAATTTGGAAAAATGAAAAAAATCACTCAAATAAATATATAAGGAGACCAAATTTGAATAGTTTTATGAAAATTTATGACATTCATATTTTTTTTTAGGCGTATGAAGTAAATGTGAAATATAAAAGTGTTGAAGTTGATTTCCTAATTAGCCTTGAACTCTCCTTAGATATCCCTAGATTGGGCTTGAGTCATGCTTGGGTTTAATTTGAAATAGGGTCGTTCACATTAACGGGCAACAATTCTTAGATGAAAATGTTAAATATTCAATTAATGATGAGACTGACCCTGTTTGGTATTAGCATTAGAGATTAATGTTAATGTTTTGAAAATATTATTCAGTAGGAGCCTTTAGGCTTGTTTGGGAATAACATTAGTGCTATCATTTATTTTGTTTTTCAAATTTAAAATTTAATTTTTTTTTAATTTTTTTGAATTTATTTTTATTTTTTACGTATATTTTCAATTACCTTTCTAGAAAAAATGATAAAAAAATTCATACTACTCTTGTCTCTTCCGATTTTGGCTTTTTTCGGATGGTTGGAGTGAGGGAATAATCCAATGAACATATATACACACACAAAAAATAACCCAAGTCTCAAAAAAAAAAAGGATATAATGAGGGGGTAGGTATCAAATGGATAAGACTTGCGAGCGCGTTCCACGTGGCAGTCCCTGAAATCAGCCATACAAAATCCAACGGCTCTGGATCCTCAAAGATTATGCCCGTTTAACGTCGCCCGTTAGATCATACTGGACATCCATTCATTATCTTATCTTGCTATATTCTCCACAATAATAATGTTACGTTGTTCCTTATCATATCCATTTTCATTCTTGCAGAGTGAGGTGAAGGATAAACAAAGGAAACAAAGTACCCCATTGGAAATGGCAGCTTCAGTCCTCTCTACTGCCGGCGTTATCGGCCGCGCCGCCCAAGCCACCGCGCTCCCGCCCTTCACCGGCCTCAAGTCCTCCGCCGCCTTCCCCATCTCCAAGAAGTCCGCCGCCGACTCCGCTTCCTTGGCCACCAACGGTCTCAGAGTACAGTGTATGAAGGTATATATATATTTAGGCTATTTCAACCACATATATATAGTTTCAGTGTGTTAGAAATGTTAATTTAATGCATCTTTGGAGTAGAATTATGTGTTTCATTGATCATTTATAAAAGAAAATAGTAACATCGCATTTTTCTTTGTAGAACTTTTTAAGCCTCTTTTAAATATGTGAAATTTGTAGAATTCCAGTAGGAGATCAGATAGAAAACTTAATCTATGGCCTATATACAAATATCCGCTAACAAAGTTTTCTGAAAAGAGCACCCAAACATTGATGGTTTACCTACCATCTCTACCCTTCTAAACGGCACTGCCCAGGTTTCACCCCCTTTTTAGAACTACGTACAAAAGGTCAAAGTAGTCATTTTAGAACTACTACTGCGTCAGTGAAAAAGTAATTTTATTAGCACTGGTGTTATTTAAAGAATTGGACATTATTATAGTGCTATATGGGTAAATTTCTCTTTATATATATACTCGCTCCGTCCGAAAATGATCTTTCCATTATGCATTATGAGGTTTGACCGATTTTATTTTCATTTTAGTTTATTTGATTGTATAAATAACATTAGTGCTCATTAATATTGATAAATGTGGTGGTGATTCATGTACTAATGAATATAAACAGGTGTGGCCACCGGCGGAAAACAAGAAGTTTGAGACATTGTCATACCTCCCAGACTTGACCGACGAGCAGTTGTATAAACAAGTGGAGTACCTCCTCAGGAATCAATGGATCCCTTGCCTGGAATTCGAGTTGGAGGTATATATAGGTCATGTCTTGTATTCTCGTACGCGTTAGAGTATAAAACATTTCATATAACTATTTTCGGCCACAAACTTTAGCTTTCGGTTGGTTTTATTTATGACATGATATTATAGCATTGCTGATGCAAATGTGAGGAGTTCGTACCTCACCGCCACATATTTTACTTTATAAAATTGATGTTACAGTTCATATTTTGACTAATGGGAGAAATAAGAAGTATATATTTGCAGTTGGCTTTCCAATTTTGCTTGTTGTGATGGGTCGTTATTCAATTCAACTATGCATGCACATACATGTATAGGAGCTAGTATATATGTTGTGAATTTGTGCATTAACATGACCTAACATATGATGGAATATGTATATGTCGTGTAGAATCCATTCGTGCAACGCGAAAACCACAGGTCACCGGGATACTATGACGGGCGATACTGGACGTTGTGGAAGTTGCCGATGTTCGGGTGCACGGAACCGGGGCAGGTGCTGGCGGAGCTGGAGGAGTGCAAGAAGAGTTACCCCAATGCTTGGATTCGCCTCCTCGGCTTCGACAACCAGCGCCAGACCCAGTGCGTCTGCGTCATGGCCCATAAGCCCGCCTCTTCCTCTTCTTCTCCTTCTTAATACAGTCCATGATCATATACATATCCATATATCTATATATTGTCTATTGGGAACCCACTTGTCGTGGGAATATAACTTGTTGTTGTTGTAATGCTGTTTTTGTGGGAATATATAGGCTTCAGGCCTTTGTTTCTGTTTTTGTCATTGCTTTGTAAGATTATTATGGCACTTGGGCAATTCAATAACCAAGAAGACAATAAAAAACACCTTAATAATGATCTTCTTTAATGTGTTTAATTTGGTATGGAAGCGGTTCTGTGACGATAGCCTTAGGAAGTAGAGAGACAGAACTCCGTTGCATGACGGACGACTTTGAGATTATGATTTGTTTAGTTTTTTTTCCTGAAAGAGTGTTGACGATTGGAGTGAAAGGGAAGAGTAGTTTCTTTTTTTTCTTCTTCTTCTTGTGGATTGTTCTTTGTTTATCTATCTATTTCTATGCTCCCTTAAACTCTAAAATTGATGATGAGGATGAATAACTGAAATTACGGTAAAATCTAATACTCCCTCTGTTCTATAAAAGTATTCCTATTTTGACTTTGTGTAAAAATAAGGAAGTGTTAAATTGTAGTTGACTTCCAATTTTGTCCTTGATGTGATGAGTAAAAGTAAGATGTGATGGATTGAGTATTAGAGAAAAAGTATGATGTGATAGGTAGAGTATAAAAAAGTAAGGGTAAAAGTGGTTTTTTAATAGAAAGTGGAAGTGTTTTGTTGGAAGTAAAAAAAATAAAAATCATCCTAAATAGGACTAAAACATAGAGAAAAGTACTAAAATAAGACTTTCATGTTTTTTTCCCCGGAATAGGACTTTGCATTGTGGTAATGTGACTTTGCATTGTGGTAATGTGGCNGAGTAATAAAATCTATTACTCCCTCCGTCCCATTTTATAACGCATGTTTCGGTTTACGATGTTTGACTGAAGTTATTTTCAAATCATTTTATACGACAAATGGTATAGAGTTAAAAAATAAAAATTACATATTAAAATACTACATCAAAAGATCTACAAAACTAGTAGTGACAACAATATTTTATTTTACCAAAATGCTAACGAAAATAGAGAAAGAAAGTGAATGAAGTTTGACCCTGTGAATAGTGAACAGGCATTATAATTTGGGACGGAGGGAGTAATAGTTAATACTCTGTATTAATCAGTTTTGTTGAATATTGAAAGCTTGAGTAAGGATGGTGTGTTTTTTAAACCTAATTTTTAATACTAAAATATTAAAATTTAGTTTTTTAAACCAAGTGTTAATCAATGTTAGTAGTAAAAAAAAATGTTAAACAGAATGTATACTTCGTACATACCAGTGATACTCCGTATCACATACTAGTACATTTCTTTTTGTTAAAGGCTTGTCCACAAATGTGAAAAAATGTCATTAGCATTCATTAAAATTTAGGTATTGAGCCCTATTTTATTTATTGAACAGTACTTGTGTTTTAAAACTAGTGCTAAGTTTGAAATTTAATAGCCATTTTTATAACAATTTGAATATTAAAATATAAATTTATATTAAGTTTAAAAATATCACGTAATTAGAATAATGAACATCCACTACTAAAAAATGGGCTTTAGCATCGGATTTCTTAAACTTTTTGCATTGATTTTTTACCGATGCAAGTGCAAGCGATGCAATTGCCTCAGGGCAACTATATTGCATCGGTTATTTAGACCCTGAAAGAATTTGAGGCACTCTGTGGGTGCCTTTCTTGCTTACCCTCCGGGCCATCGATGCTTTTTAAGAGCTCTCTTAAAATTGATTTTTTAAATTTAAAAGTAATTTAGGTTCTAGTTTGAAAATTATCAAATTACTCATATTTTGGGGATAAATAATACTGAGTGGTATACTTTGGTCATATCAAGGAAATTTTTGTCAAGTAAATATCACTTAAATTTCTTCATATTTCTTCTAAAAAAGATGATGTTCTATCCATTAATTTAAGTTTTTCGATGTCGTAAAAAAAGATTTTGAGTTAGAAAATGAATTCAAATTTTATATACAAAGAGAATAAGCTCACCCGATACATCACTCAATTCATTCGGCCTACCGAAAATTCAACATGAAACAATAATGGAAGATGTAATTCTCAAGAATTGAATTTAAATCCATTTTAAAATTAGGCAAGCAATTTTAGTGAAAAAAAGAGGAGACAATAAGAGTAAATGCAGGACCCTATGTCTTCATCACGTTAAAGAGGAAATACAGAGTATTCGATATTAAAGAAAGAAAAAGATGAGTCCCATCCATCTTTGAGTTTTTCTCACACTCGATCGAACAATCACTTAAAATAGACTAATCAGATTTGATAATAGATTACTGACAAGGGTAGAATATGCATGTAATTAATGCTTACAGAAATCATATGTTTAGTATAGTTATTCTCGTACAATTACCACAAATTGAACTCGAAACAATCTTATATAAATATACTCACTCCATCCCAAAATATTTGTCACACTTGCTTTTCCAGCAGTCGCGGAAACTTTTGTTTATTTTTACATTTCCATTGGTTATTTGATAAAATAAAATAGTCTTAACACCTCTTATTTCGAAGAACTTTTCATGTAATTTTTTTATATGTAAATTTTATTTTTTTATTTCTATACTAATATGTAAATAAAATGAATTAAAAAAACTTAATATTTTACATCGAGAATATAAGTGTGACAAATATTTAGAAATAGACGGAGTAAATGACAAGGATACTCCTTATCAAAGAAGCAAGGAATATGAAGACGGCAGACTAAAACCTCGTTGTCGTCCAATAGAAAAAGAAGAAGAAGAAAAAGCAAAACAATAATGACAAGAAAGACATCAGCGTTTCAGATTTGATTTCGACACAGAACAGGAGTGGGAACTCAAGCCCGTTCGTGTCTTTCAGATTTGATTAATCCTACATACGGTTCAAGGCTAGATTAGTTTAGTTCGTTAGCTGTTAATGGGGAAGCATCCGAAATTACCGGGCGTCAGTGAAGAAATCCAGAAGCTTCTGGATGCTGATATGGACTTGGTAGACGCCAGGCGCAGAGCGCGGGAGGCGTTTAAGGATACCCAGCTCTCTATTGATCATTTCTTGTTCAAGGTATACTATATATATACTTGACTCACATATTTAAATCCATCCTTTGAAATCATGAGTTTATCATTCATTCATATCTATAATGTGAATATGCTATCTAGAGGGTATTTCAGACAATACACTGTTGTTCTTGTTCAGAGAACTGGAGAAGAAAAGAAAAGAAAAGTGGAAGGAAAAGAAAATAAGAAGACAAAATGTACTATACTAAGGGAGAAACCGAATTGCTCCCATTTTGGTTTGGTGAGGAAAATGAGAGAAAACTATTTTCTTTTATTTTCCTTCCGAATTGCTTGAACCAAACATAGTGTTAGGGACAACCAGAAAGGGAAAGTGAGATTTTTTTTGTAGGGAGGGTGTTTTTATGAATATCAAAAGTGTGCAACTAATATCGGACACATAAAACAAGAAAGTAGATAACTAAATCCGGACAAAAGGAATACTATAAACTGTGTGTGTTGGTGGAATTCTAATTGTATGAACTATGAAGCTGTAATCTAGTTTTCTGCAAATGTCATGGAAATGCAAAACATTGTTTATCTGAGCATCCCTTTAATATGTCTTTATAATATGGTTGATGGTCCTATTATTTGCAGGGCCCACATTCCGAGTTAAAGATGGAGGAGGTAACTAAATTACATACTGCCACCACACATCATTCAGTCGGTTGAACATCTAGCGAGAGTCTTAAAATCAGTCATTCTTGTTTTGTTTTTCCCCTTTTTTTTGGGCAGTCGTACGAGAAAAACTCAAGAGGGGTGGAGATTTTCTCCAAGAGTTGGATTCCGGCGACAAGTCCTCCCAAAGCATTGATTTGTTTGTGTCATGGTTACGGAGATACTTGTACATTCTTTGTGGAAGGCATTGCTAGGAAGCTGGCATCTTCTGGTTATGGAGTACTCGCCATGGATTATCCTGGTTTCGGTCTCTCAGAAGGCCTTCATGGCTACGTGCCGAGTTTCGACAAGCTAGTTGATGATGTCATTGAGCATTACTCCAAAGTTAAAGGTATACTCAAGGGTGGTTTTGTCATTCATACCCAAATTCTTTTTGTTTTTCTTGTGACATCTGTTTGGTTCATTGTTAAATACTACATATTGAGTAAAGTTCACCGGTGGGACGTGTACTTTAAAGGTTTTTTAGGTTCAGTACCTAAACCTTATTTTCTATTAAACAAATACTTGAACTTTGCCAAACCTTGTAAGAAAAAGATTTTAACAGGTTTAATTGGTATGATTACACCCATCATGCAGTGCTACCTAATTGCGTAAGAGAAATGACCGGTAGATGACTTGAAACCTGCTAAAATCTTTTTCTTGAAAAAATTGGTAAAGTTCAGGTATTTTTTTATATAGAAATTGAAGTTTATGTACTTAAATGAAAACGCGTCCAAAGTTCAAGTACTACAGGTGAAATTTACCTGTTAAATATTCGGATTGATATTGTCCCTCCGACTTTGATACACTCCAAATCTGTCATTGAAAGAAAGACAGAAATATTCCTTGTTACTTTTTTGTCAACATATTCTTTAATGTGGGTATTATTGTCTTTCAGCCATAAAAAATTGGATGTTTGTTGCAGAAAACGTAAACTGGCGCACATTGCCAAGCTTCCTATTTGGACAATCTATGGGAGGAGCGGTTGCTCTCAAGGTGCACCTGAAGCAACCTGGTGCATGGAGTGGGGCTGTTCTTGTTGCACCTATGTGTAAGGTAATAAGCTGGCTATGCAAACTCTCAGCTTATAAGGTGTTCTGAGCTTTCAAAACTGACTTATTGTTTATGATAGATTGCAGATGATATGGTGCCACCGAGGCTATTGACGTGTATACTCATTTGGGTGTCAAAGTTTCTTCCAAAACAGAAGCTGGTTCCTCAAACAGACTTGGCTAAATTGGCATTTAGAGATGCAAAGAAGAGAGAGCAGGTAGTTTTTATGGAAGGTGATAGTGTCGCTACGGAGTATATTTCTTTTGCTTGAAAATGTGTGTTTGGTTAATTTTCCAGGCTGCCTATAATGTCATTGCTTACAAACATAAACCGCGCTTGGGGACTGCCGTGCAACTATTAAAGACTAGTCAAGAAATCGAAAACTTACTAGAAAAGGCATGTCAATATTGTTTCTACATTAATACTTTATCCAATCTTCTAGGGTCCATTTCGAACTTGGAAAAAGCCAGGGAAAGAAAATAGAGAGGAACAAACATATAGGAGGCATTCAGAAGGAAAGAAAAATGGACACGAAAATGACTTTCGATAGTAGTACATCTTTTGCCAAATGCCTTATCAAACGAAAAATAATGCTTATGAGTTCAACATTTTTATGCAACCTATAGGTGTCTCTGCCCTTGCTGATTTTGCATGGGAAGAATGATAAAGTAACAGATCCATCAGTAAGCCAAGCACTGTATGAGAAGGCAAGCAGCCAAGACAAGAAACTAAACCTTTATGAAGATGCTTGGCATTCCCTTCTCGAGGGCGAGCCCGATGAGATGATTCACAGAGTTATCACTGACATTCTTTCTTGGCTTGATGAACATACACATACATAGTTCTACATGTTACTACCTATGTGAATCAAACCGATACAATCATACAAACACGCCCGGTGTGTGTGTTCCATTTAAGGGTATAGTTTGGGTTGAGATGGCTCGTATGGTTGATGTTATAGTACACTTGAGGGTGTTTGGGAGTGTTTTTGGAGATTGATTCTCAGTTTATAGGGCACCCATTGCACCCAAATTTGTGGCGGAAAAATTTGTTTTTGTTGAAAGCGAAAACACTCTCAAACACCCTCAATGTAGAGTTGGTTCTATGGACACATTGTTAGGTCACTAGCAAAAACATCCTTCTTGTGTGTTTGAGGATTTATCTCTGGTGGAACTTGAACATCTGGGGTTTACATTTGTATGATTATATCATGAAACTTTTTAATTGGTATTGTGGAATGTAATGCTCTAAATGAGGTCTTTTGGAAATAATTTCTTTATCCTTGGAGATGTAAACGTAAAGATTATGTGTATCTTTGTTTTGAAATTTTGTTTATTAGATTTTATTGTCTTTTTCTAAGAAATATGTTGTATTCTCTTTTAATTTGATTTTTCTGTGGATGATAAAGAAAAGTCATTTATCACATATTACTTCTAAAAATATGGAAAATTACTATAATACGGAGTAAGTTAAAATTGACCCCAAAAAGTAAATACAATAAACTACAATAAACTGTGACAAAAGAATTGGTGAACAAAATTTTGTTGGAATTAAATGAATTTTAAAAGCCTAGAATGGAATTTGTGGTGGTTGACAAGTTATGAGAGCATTCACAATGCCTCGTCCCCACATGTCATGTCAACAAATACCGTCAACTAGACCTGACAAAAAATAACCCGACCTGTTTTTGACCCGAAACCCGACCTGAAAACACTGGGTTTTGAACAAAGGTTTTGATGACCGAACCCGAAATGACCCATTAAACATGGGTCAAACCCAACCGAACCCGAACCCGACCTAACCGACCCACTAAAGTAAGATTTTTTCAAAATCATACACTTTATTACTCGTTTTTAGTGTATTAATTTATATTTTCAGACAAAATTTTAATGATGTTGCATAATTATCTTACTTTTTCCAAAACTTAAGCATTTTTAAATTCCTTATATTGATTTATATATCTAAAAATTGCTTCAGAGTTTAAAATAAAATAGTTTTATAGATTTAATACATTTTTTTTTGATATTTTGAATTTATTGAATAGAAAATGTAAGTGTTAATGTTAATTTAAAAATTTAAAAAACCGAAGTCATAATCCGTTGGGTCGACCCGAACCCGATGACACTGGGTCATGAACATACCGTTCTCAACCCGAACCCGAAATAACCAAAACTTGAAGTGACCGAACCCGAACCCGAACCCGACATGACCAACCGATTTGTCAGCTCTACCGTCAATCCACCCTACGTTTCATTTTATGCGAGAGGCATGGCTCTCTCCTTTTTATTTTCTTTTTGAAAAAAAAAGAAATATTTTTATTAAAGGAGTAGACATATTTTAAGGATAGAATAGATATGTAAAATAATTTACATTGTACACTGCCACTGAAGTACTGCCGTCAGCCGTTGTGTGTGGCTTGTGATGACCAATGTTGGTCTGTGATCCACCACGACAATGCCACCACTCACAGTGCTATATTGTTATCACATTATCAATTGAGAAGATAAAATTAATGTCATTTCTTTTTTTTGGTTAACATTTTACTTCGGACATTTCTTTACATCAATACATGTTTTCTTCTTTCTATCATCAATAGCCCAGCCTACATGGCCTAACATGTGCAAAGTTTTTTTTGGTCACCCAAACTTTCTTCTGTCTGTCTCTCTCACTGTCTATGCTTTTCGATCTGTTTCTTGTTAGTAGATGAGTGGCCATGAAAACTCGGCCTCCACTCAAGCTCACCTCTCACCAAAGGGTAAATCTTTATTACTGTGTACCTTCAGATCTCTCTTTCTCTATATCTGTTCATGTACGGAGTATATATATGTGTGTGTATATATATACACAAACCCTGGGGTATGTAAAATGAAGCTTCATAAGCTATCGTCGTTCTTTTCTTCTATTTTTTGCAGGTGGGGATCTGGTTTAAGGGTTGTTATTTGTTCTCCCAATCATGGCCGCCCCCTCTTCCTGCTTTGCCCTCCCTTCCATCTTCAATCTTCACCAGGTTAGTCCAGGATTTGATTTGATGTTCCTGGTATCATTTTTGGTGTTTGGGTTTTTTTTGGTGTGTTTGGGCATTCTTAATTCTATGTTTTCTTGTGTGTGCTGAGTTCTTGAGCTTGATTTATCAGGAAGTTCTGCCCCTTTTGTTTGATTGGGTGCTGTCTGGCTAGATTAGGTTTAATTTTTTTGCTTTAGGCTGTGTTTGGTATCCAATAACTGGCTTGACATGCTGCTACAAAACAGACTAGTTATTGATTAGAAGGAGCATAACTTGTTTTTGAACTATTTGGCTGAATGGCTCTCCAAACAGGCTCTAAGATTTCTTTAGGGGATGTTTTTCAGGAAAAAACATAATTTGGTGTTTTGGAAGGTGTGAAGTGCACTCTAAGCGGGGGCTGATATAAAGCTAGGGTCGGTCCAAAATTTTTGGAGACCTTGTGCAAAAAATAAAATAAGTTTCTACATTTTGGAATATCAAAATTTCAATATTTGGAATTAAGACACCATATTTTCTAAAAAGCATCAAACATGATTAATTTGGGCTATTGCTTACATTCGGGAGGCAGAAGGGGAGGGAATGTTTTAAGAAGAGTGCATACAATTGCTTTAGAGGGATCATAGGTCTATGTGACATTATCTTTGACACAACTGATGACACCGATGTGTCAATGACAATCATAACCATTGTATGTGCACGCACAAAGAATCATTCTTTGTGCGTGTCCATGAGGCCCAGTGGTGGTGTCATCAGTTGTGTCAACCCTGGTGTTAAAATAGCATTTTTCTTTTTCTTCTGAGGAATAAACAATAAGTTCCTCTTGTAGCTCAACTACCCAAGTTTGGCTTCAAAGGGAAACCAAAACTCCGTTCTTGCTGCTGCAACTGCAAATCACACACTTTTCTACCAGCGGATTAAGAAAGACGGAAGAGGAGGCAATCTGAGGAATGAATCTAGCTTTCTAGGGGCCTCATTTCAACTCAACATTGGAAGAAAATCTATGCACAAGAGAAACTTGGGAGTATCCGCATCATGTAATTCGGTCGTGAACAAAAACATGAGGGTAGAAGTGTCATTTACATTTGTTTCGGCAACTTTTGGCCGACTTATTAATATAACCTTTCTGCCTTGTTGTCTGTCTTGTAGTGTTGCCAGCTTCTCAAGTTGCTAGCAGTGCATTTACGTGGGGAACTGTAGCCGTTCTCCCATTTTATGCTTTCATGGTTGTGGCACCAAAATCCGCGTTGGTATATCTCTCAATATTTCTTTTTGTTTCATCTTATACAAAACATACAATAAATAAAACAAACAAGTCCAGTAAAAACCCACACAAAGTAGAGTGTGGAGAGAGTGTGTACGCAGAGGCCTTAACCCTACTCAGAAGTAGAGAAACTGTTTTCAATAAATAAAAGCCAACAAATTTACATTGTTGTGTTTCCTATCACCGTGTTGTGTCACAACTTGAATAGCGATTATTTAAATTGCAGACCCAAAAAATGATGAAAAGTGGAACACCATTTGTCGCACTTGGAGTGTTGTATGGCTATCTTCTCTATCTCTCTTGGACACCCAATACGTTATGCCTCATGTTCGCCAGCAAATATTGGCTGCCAGAGGTGAGTGGGTTCTCAACCATCAACTACTCGGTTTTGAAACTATAAATTAAAGGGTGTTTGGGTATGCAAATTTTCCTGAAAAATGATTACTTTGACAACATAATCTAAAATCAAAATCAGTCACAAATACCCTTTAAATCTCTGCTCTAAATATTCCCACCGAGGTGGGGAGGTCGTCCAGTGGTTTGGTCACACTACTATTTCCCCCTTCTCATCCGGATTCGATCCCTCCCCCCAACCTCCCTCCCCAATAATCCCCTTGGATTGAATCCAAAAAAAAAAAAAACTATTGGGCACTAGGCTTTCGTGTAACTACATTCATTTTTTCTCTCTCGAGCTGAACCCATATAATCATATATTACAGCTTTCGGGCATAATTCAGATGTTCAGCAATGAGATGACTATGGCTTCCGCGTGGATTCATCTTCTGGCTGTGGACCTTTATGCTGCAAAGTACTGTTTTTATTTTAAACTCTCAATTGAGTCAATTCCATTCGTTGTCTTTTTTTTCCCCGGTTTTGGTAATGGATGTTTTTTTTTTGAACTTTCAGGCAGGTATATGAAGATGGAATGCAGAATGATGTAGAGATCAGGCATTCGGTGTCGCTGTGCTTGCTGTTTTGCCCCATTGGAATCCTTGTTCATCTCGCAACCAAAGCGGTATCGGGCATGAAGAACGGGAAACACACTGCTCAATAACCATACCCATCCTCATTTGATTCTTTCTTCATTGGCAATGTTAGAACTATGAACTATCATATTTTGATTTTAATGATCATGCCTTCTCTTAATATTACTTCATCCTAGTACATGTTTGATTGTTATACCCTCTCCGTCCGGATTTAGTCTGTGTTCCTTCGCCTGATCTGATCTGATTTTTTGAATATCTGGTCTGAATTATAATTAAAGTTATTTCTGATTTGGTCTGATTTGATCTGGTCTGATATAATTATAATAAGAAAAAGTAATAAGTAGAAAAAATAAATTGAATGAAACGCTACCTTAGTTGTCAATTTTCTAATAGTGTTTGTCACTCATTCATCTCCACAATGCTCATATCATATACCTAAGATAGTTTAGACAATGGAGATGCTAGGGGTACACCAAAAGTGTACCCCAAATGTACACAACCCTCTCCATTACCCCTAGCATTTTTGTTAGACAATTCATTATAATTTTCTTATTGAATTGTAAAGTGGATAATTAATTTCGGGTAGAGGGAGTATTATTTAACACGGAGTAAATTTATAAAAATAATTTATTGATTTTTAGGATGCACTCCGCAACAAAAATCTTACCCCGTATAAAATTATTCTTTCTAGACGGTGTTAATTATTTTGACTCGGTGTTTTGTTTCTTAGCCAGACAAAAATGATAAACCAATCTACTAAATTATACATAAAAATATGAACAAAACATAAACCTTTTTTTTTGCGCCAACGGGAGATGTCAATATGTCATTAATGAAGCTGTGCTAGCTCTTGAAGAAAGAAAGAAAATAGCACTCACTGTGAGGGAATAATAGTGTAGGAGGAAGAGAGAGTGCAAAAAAAAGTCCCTTATTTTGAAAGCTTACCTTTCTATTGAAAAAGAAAGCATCTTGGAAGAATATTCTCATATTCTCATTTTTTTAAAGTTAATAAGGCTGGTTTGGCTGATATTCATAAATGTATGAAGAATTTGGACTTAAATGTCTATGCCAGATGATATTCCAGAACTTAAATGCTCGTATTCACCCTAACGCTAGCAAAAAAAATTATAGTTAGTACAAAGGGTATCAATGTCTGTACAATATTCTTCCCAGCTCTTCACCATTGGAAAAAAGAAAATGTAAAGAGTTTCGTTAAACGACAGCAGCTCGAGATATGACACATTTTTCTTTGCAGTTTTGCTGCAATAAACAATTTGTGCAAAGACTTGAACAATTTGTGGGTTGCCATGCCAGAGACTTGACCAATTTGTGCAGTTTTACTGCAAAACTGCAAAAACAAAAAAAAACAAAAAAACAAAAAACATTAGTGAACTATAGATTACCATGGCCCGTTGGTGTATAGGCTTTATTATGGGGATGTTTGTCATTGTTTTTCATTCAGGCTTTAGAGATCTCTAGTTGGAAAACTACTTCAAATTATTTTCAATACAAATTACTTCTTTAAAGGGCGTTCTGCACACGCTCAAAATTGGAAGAGTTAAAAGTTTTCCATGCAAACTAACCCGCAAGAGGAAGACTTTAAATGTAAGCAAACATTCATACATTAAGTTGGAAGAGGAGACATTTCAACCCGATCATCCAAGAACCCATTTGATAGACTTGAGCTCTGATTTGAACCTTTCCTAGTAATGTCCAACGATGTTGCTTCATATATCCCTGAAAGTATATCATTATACAAAGGTTTCAAAGCAATTGGAAATATGGTTTAAGTGAAATTTCAAGTCATACAAGTTGAGTGCATTGTTTAAGTTGTTTCATCATCACCAAGTCTGTTAGGGGTCCTCTAAAAAGGAGTCTCCCTACGCTTTTGAGTAGATGTAAGTTCTGGGTATATCTTGCACATTGGGTTTGTTTGGTACTTTGTTCAGTAGATAAGTGATGCTTTCAAATTTATGAACTATCTCAAAATGAAAAAAAAGAGGCTGCAAATATCCCAATATGAAGCTTTTAACTGATTGCTTCACAAGAGAGGGTATAAGGGAAGAAATGGTTTGTATTTACCAAATCCCAAAATGGCTGCACAAATCAGAAAACCAGGTAGGGAGAAGTCCATTTTATATGCAAATTCCATGACAATGATGCATCCTCCGGCAGCCATTAAATGCCTTGGAGAAGAAAAAACCATTTGCAACCTACAAATATAGATTAAAGATAAAGAGAAAAATCTTAGGCGGCAGTTTAATGTAGGAAAAAATTCCTGACAATTATACGGAGTATGAAACACATAGTGCGCCAAGGAATTTTCTATCTCTCTAATCATCAAGCTTCACACATTTTAACATCTAGGAAACTGTGTTCTTATTTTTATTAAGACGCAAAGCTATTTCTGAATACAATAAAACACACATTGTAATTGTAATAATCATCAATGAAGACCCATATGAGATACATTGATAAAATGTTACAATATGAAGAAATAATTTGGAGAAAGTACCTTTCCTCTGCAATACTATCAACGTAGAATATCAATATGATGCCAAAGAGGATGGTGCTTGTAAAAGCCCATGCAGAAAACGGCAACTCTACACTAGTTGATCCCTGAAGAGTTCCCACACAAGGAAAAGATAAGGAATGCTCAAAGTGGATGTAAATGTTACTAAACGGAATCATAAGAACATAAAATTACACTCACTATAATCATGTCCCACATGGCAATCGGAAACAAAAAACATGTTGCAGATGCAACTGTTATGGCATTGAGTCGCCTCTTCAGTTGATTCTGTGTATATATAGCATAATAGTAAGTGCAAGGTCATCCAACAAGACAACAAGAGAAAATTACTTGATACCTTAAGGGACACCCGCCTAGCAATCACTCTTCTCAAGGCTGATAAAATTCCAGCAAAGATGGGGATTATCATTTCCTTCATGCCTACAACTTGTTCCGTCTTTCCCTCATTATCATCATTAGTGCTATCGCCAAATGGTATTTTTTATGTTAAGGTCTTAATGTATATACTCTGCCAAGTGAAGATAAGGGGATATTGGAAAGACCCTAATTCCCTATCAGTCAAGTAAAGGGTCTCTTTGGAAGTTGAAAAATGATTGGCAGAAAAAAAAAATAGGGAAGAAAATAAAAGAGAAATTTGGAAGGAAAGGAAATATAAGGGAAGTAAATCATTGATTCAAAATTCATTTAATTTATTTATTTACGGAGTATATTATATGAAGACTAGAAACTTATCTTTTTTTAGTCAGAAGCCAACAGGCCACTATAAGAAATGTATACATATGTAACAAAGTTAAAAACATAAAATTATATTTCAATTTCCATTGCATTACTGAAAATAAAAGCAAACATAAGAAAATCACTTTTCTATACATTTTACCTTTCATTATCATTTTTCAGAATCCAAACATGCCCAACATGAGTTTGCAAGCAATCAAAGGATATAAATTGGTGAATATGTGGCCATTGCCCATCCTTGTGACAAAAAGTAGAAAGATGTCAGCATTGCAACGAGCCCTCCCACCTGAAATGATAGATCGATACTAGATTAATATTGACCACCATATTGTGTATCATGTATTGTGGAAAAACTAATGTCTTCATTCCCAGGGGTGGACGGTGATAAACTATACGTGTGGGACTATGAGTGCAAGTTAGAGAATAAAGTTGTAGGATTTATCAAAACAAACCTTCTTCCAGAGTTGGCCTTTCCTTCCATATAGTACAGCAGATACTACACCAAGAACAGCACCAGAATACTCAGCTAATATAGCTCTGCAATGGACAATAGTCTAAATATTACTCAGTAAAACATTACACGTATTCAGCTAATTTTTGATTATTTACAGAAAATAGGCTTGCCCTTAGTTGTGCCTCAGGCACACTCATATACACAAGTTGTAACTTTAAGCTCCAATAATACAAATCACAACTTTTCATATAAATATATAATAGGATAAAGTACAATAAAAATTCTTCTTCTCTAGTTTCTTATTCAGTTTTACATTTAATATAAAGGTCAGCTGCAAATTTGAGATCATCAGGGCATTCTGAAATAATATGATGTAGGAGCTTATAGTCGAAAGCGATAGCCAACTATACTTATTAAAGTGCAGTACAACTATGACACATTTACATACTGTTTTAATATTCAGTGGTGAACCATGTGTTGATATTCTTTTTACCAAGAACAATGCTAGGTTCACAAACAGGATGCTCACAAACTTCACAAACTTACTATTTATGGTTTAAATTTTCATTTTAAAATTATTTTAGACTATTTAATTTTTTTATTGAAGTTCACAAATAGTAAGTTTGTGAAGTTTGTGACCCTTGTGTTTGTGAACCAAGCATTTCCCTTTTACCAATGCAGCAGCATGACATAGAAACTAGGCTGGTTAAACCGTAATTTCCATAGTTTGATATCATTATCAGGAGTGCAAGGACATTGAGATTGACTATCATAGATGATGGAAAAAAGTTCATAAATTAATCTGTTTGGCTGTTGATAAGCATATCGCGTTTCATTAATCACTTGCAAATTGATCTGTTGACATGATAAAGAGTAATGGCATGTAACACGATATCAGCCCAAGTCCGTGACCATGAAAAGCTATAACGACCACCACAAAGGTGGCATCTCTCCGCATAACACTTACCGGATAGGACCACACGATTTAAGGCCTTTCCCCCACATGATGAAGTATAGAGCTGTAATGGCACCGTTTATTACAGAAGGCACTACCTGTGAAGAAAATGACATTGACTAAGAAGAAGCCAAGAAGGTATAACCAACACCATTTTAATCGAGAACTTGAATGCTTGCATAAGAACAAGAAGAAGAGGAACTAAAAATCAAAGGGGCCACTTCCACAAAACCTGTGTATTAGCCAGCGGCCTGCCCTTCCATGGCTTTTGCATTATCAAAAATAGGATGCAAGACGGAACAAGACAGCTGAAGATAAAAAGGACAACAGAAGCCCCAGTCTGCGACAAATACCGATACATTGAGTAAACTGACCATATTCTCAAGAAGTTCCCAACAATGTGAATTATCTGCAATGGTGTTTGCCTGCATTTCAGCCCTCATACTATCAGTACATGAACATGGGGCAAGTAAAGAGGAACCCAACCTGGAGGGGTCTCCAAATGCATAGCATTTGGTGAATACATAAAATATCAGCTCTATTTGATGAAATAAGATTCCTTTTTTGGGATAAACCCCACATTGAAACATTGCTTTTTTGGGCCGGATGAAGTACTAAACCTAGCAGGAACTATAAAATAAATTCCAGACTTCAATTTCAAGGATGTGGCATGAGAGTAGAACTGAGAATTACCTAAACGTGGCTGACTGAGAAGAACCGCCTCGATCTTCGAAAATTGGCTTAGGGGACATCATTTTTTAGAACTAATTCAGAAGAAGGAGAACCGGTTCAGCCATGGGGATAAATTTCGATCTGGGAACCGAATTCTGAATGATGCTGTGCAGGAGATTCATCAAGCTTGGAGAGGGAGTTGAAATAACTGGGTTTGACAGAAAAATAATTTGGTGAAAGGAGAATCCCCGATTAAAATTGCCCGGCAGTATTTCTTTCGGGGCAAATGGGTCTATTTGGTAAGCATTTATACCTCAGTTTGTACCCCGCAGTTTTGCACCAACATTTTGTGTTGGTGTAAAACTAATTTTTGTTAACGCATCAACATTTGTGTCCGTGTAAATTTTTATTAACGCACCAACACTTGTGTCGGTGTAAACCATCAAAATGTTTATGCAAAACTGTGGTGTAAGTGTAGCATGGTCCATTTGGTAACGCCCCGTTTGGATTTGGGAGAATGAATGGACTGGACTGCTGAAGTAAGAGTGGGCAGAGTTTGAAATAATTCTAATTATAAAAATCTTACAGTATGTCATTGTTACGTGCCTCTTTGGAAATAATGATAGAGATTAATGTTAGTGTTTGGAAAAAGAAGTAAATAGGAGTCTTAAGTTTTTGAGACATACGGAGTTACTAGTACTTTTTTTAAATAAAGTGATAAATTTGCTCTTTTTAAATATTAATACTATCACACTTCCATACTTCGTTAACATACTACTACAACTCTCCGTTGCCACACTACCACATTGCAACCTTTTGCTGCCACACTGCCAACCTCACCGCCACACGGCCACCCTCTACCATCACACTGTCATCTTCTAATGCCGCCACCACCGCCACACTGATATCATCACCACCACCACACTGCCACCCCGTCCCCACATTGCCATTGATGTATAAACTAAAATCAACATTTACCCCACACTGCCACCCCTACCCAAATAGGCGACCGAAGTTGAACTGGACATTCTAGTGTTCAAAATCGACATACTTGTGCTTGTTGGAAGGGCCTCGACATTAGACAATCATTGGGAGTGGTCTCCAACCTTGAGTCGTCCAAATGTGGCCAGAATTGGAATTTTTTCCTCAACGAGTAACCCCTTACACCACGAAGAGTGATCGTCACTGGTTACGATATCAACACTAATAAGTTCATTATGGATGAATTAACTTCTTATCAACACCAACAAGTCCATGGTTACGTTATGTGGTGTCAGAAATCGGTGTGCCGGTCGGAAAAGTTGTGTGGTGTTGTGAATGCGATGAACCAGTGTCACTGATAATTTGACTTATTCTCGTATCAGTACTAGCGGGAAAGAGTGGTGGTGGAGTCGTTTGGCTTTAAGGATTTTACTGGTGGAGGTCACGACCGTGGACACCGCATGTGATGGCAGAACACTAAAACTGATTTGTTTTTGAAAATCTGGTCAGGATGCCCAAGCCATTCCCAACCTAAAAAATAGATACTGACTAATAGTTTAAATCTAATCTTTGATCCTTATAAAGTCTTTATTTTGGGTATGATTAAAGCCAGTCTTGATCTAGATTTGGACCGACGTGTAACTATAATAGTGATATCTAAAACCTTATTTCATTATTGAGAGATATGAGATTTGATATCGTATACGCTCACTCGGGCGTGATACAGTATGATTCTGGTTCCTGGCAGCAAAATTATGAATAGTACTCGTGTGGGATGATGAGGGGTCTATGTGGTTCTGACTTCTGGTTCTAGGTCGGGTCTCAAAGGTGTTTTGTTCTATATTTTTTTATGCAAATGATGTTTTACAAGGTGCTATTTCCTATTTACTAAGTTTTTGTTTGTAGATACTATGAATCAACCCAAATAAATACGTTTAAAAAAGAAAAGAAAAAACAATTCATCAAAAAGATAAAAAATATCCGAACTCGAAACAAATTCCCAATCATAATTTCCAAAAATAAAAATTGTATTTAAAAACATTCTCCATTGATTCCATTTTTGGTATCGAAACCCTCTCCCTAGTATATTTCTTGTTCCCATCCGAAATTCTGCTCACTCATATAGTCATATTAAATCATATTAATAAGAGATTTAAATTACACTATAATTACATTAGATAAAAGCAAATTATGTTAGAGTTAAAACTAAGTGTGTTTTTTGGTGAGCAAAATAGATATGTATTTTGATATATTCAGATATCAAATCTTGTTTTTTAGTGTTTAGTGAAGCCAAACGAGATATCGAATTTGATACTTTCCTTATCAACCATTTACTATTCTTCGACACGAGTTACCGTTCTCAACATCAACCACCCCTTATCGAACTACCCATGCCTATCAATTTAAATTAAGATTTAAAATCTTTTCAACTAATTTTATTTCAGATTTCAATCTTGTATCATTCTTTTCATACCTCCAAAACTTACCAAACATGCCATTCTAGAATAAAGCCTCAATAGGATAAACATTGTTGGGCCGGGGGTAACGCATGGGGCTAACTTCTGCACTGACTCCCAATCCCCAACCCTAATCCCGCTTCCTACCATTACTATAAGATGGCTCCCATCTTCTCCCCCAGTTTCCATTAGATTTCAGGCCTCCGTGCGATTCGACGATCTGCACTTTTTTTTCTTATCTCTCATTCCGTCTTTCTATATATAGCTTCGCTATCTGGTTGGCGAGATTTCTCCCGTTTTCGCCCAACTCGTTCCCTAGAAGCGAAAGTCACCTGTGTTGCTCTCGAGGTAAACTTTAAATCCGGCGGCTATTGTTCTTCGTTCGTCGGACTACCACAGGGCATCAAAATCTACGTCTCTTTCAAATTTTTTACCCGATTTTGTTTGATTTTATCTGAATTTCTCCAGATCCATCTCGAATTCCGATCGATTGAAAATTTGTCTTAATTTTGTTGAATTCTCGGAGTGTGAAGAATCATCTGTGATGATCTCTTTACAGACATGTAGTGACTTGCGAGGATGATTGCAACTCGAACATCTAAGGGACTGAGATTTCTTCAACTCCTGTGATTTTAGTTTTCGGATTTCTGTATTGAATTTTTGTGTATTTTGTTTGATAATCGTGGTAAAGAAGATACGGATACTTCATAATCCTAGATTAATTTAAAGGTTGAAAATTGTCATGATTTTGTTGAATAATCGGAGTGTGAAGAGTCATCTGTGATGATCTCTATACAGACCTGTAGTGACTTGCGAGGATGATCGCAAATCGAACATCTAAGGGACTGAGATTTCTTCAACTCTTATGATTTTAATTTTCGAATTTCTGTAGTGAATTTTTCAGTATTTTGTTTGATAACACAGAGCCTTCATAATCCCAATTAAGACTAATTGAAAGGTGCTTATTTGATTCATGGAAGGCCTAAAACAATCTCATGGAGGTTTCGCTGATGACACCTTTCGCTTCTTCGGAGGTGTTTACTAGTTGCCGTATCCGTACAACTATTTAGAAAATCTTACAAGAATTTATTTTTCTAAATTTCAGCCTGAGACTTTTTTTAGTAAATTTCCGTTCGGGCAATTTATCTTCGTTCAGAAGAGTTAAATTTTTAATTTTTCTCTAATTATGCTTCTGAGTAAATTTTAGAATTTTTTCTAACTTTTGCTCAATTTGATAAATTGCAATCCACTTAACGACTCAAGCCCCTCAAGGGATCTTTCAGAGATAGAGAATGTGATAAATAATCATTTTTGAACTAAAACCACAAATCTAAGTTTTTTTAATGTAACACTAAAATTTCAGCATAAATGTTTCCTTTCGTATTTTTTTCTTTCTTTTTACTAATGTTTTAATATCTTTTTCAAATTTATTTTGTTATACTTGGTCCGTCCCTGAGTGTTTGTCTATTTTTGATTTTTGGAACTGTTCATCTAGTACTTGACTCATCAAATTCTCTTAATGTGTAAGCCTAAAAATAGTTATGTGTGATCTTGTATAGATTATTAATATATAATTTTTATAATTTTTTAATATACAAATTATAAGATAAAATGGATTAAAGAAGTGTATTGGACGGTTTGCAAAAATGAAAGTGGACAAATACTCTGGGATGGAGAGAGTACTGTTTTAATAATCTCAGATTTATTGTAGTGGGATTTAATTGGATTGTTGATGTTGTTTTAATAATCAATTTTTTCGGTGTTTACGATAAAAATTAATAGATGAAAAGTAAAAAAAATAGCTTTTTGCTGAGTTCCAAAAAATGCAATAGATTGAAAAAATGAGATTCTTGTAACATATCAATACAAAAATTTGTGATATATGAAAAATCAAATACTCCGTATATTTTTTCAAATGGTTAATCATTTGATTATATATAAAACGTACCGTAACGTGTACAAGCCCATCGTGAAATATCCGTCACATTAAAAAAAAAGTCTATGTTTATTTTACTGAAGATTGAAACCTTCTTGATGCACTACATATTCGGTTGGTTAATCTGCCCATTACCAAACTAAAAAGCCCATCGTGACTCTTACCCAAAACTAATAAAATAGGCAGGGAAAAACACTATTCAATTTTCCCATTTAGCTCTGTATATGGCATAGATGTTTCTATGGCTATAAGGGGTTTTTCTTAATGAAATAAGATTGATAAATAAAGGCACGTCCTTAATGTAATTAATGGCTAGATATTTGCAGCTAAGTTTGCTAACACAATTTTTTTTTTTGATAAACAACTAATAAAACTAGTCATTCAAAATAGCTTACTTAATTAGTCATCCGATTTAACTAATACAAACAATCAATTCCTAATAACAAACAAACAGCTTTGAAACATGGCCAATAATGCATACGCTGCTCAAGACCCTTGGTATATTCTTCGATCTAGATTTGAGCATGGTACAACATGCATGGTTTGATATTTAGCTTGCATCATTATTAGCGTATCAAGTAATTCTGTTTGATGTTAGATTTTATGTAGTACCTGTAAATTCGTGGGGGTGCAGCAGATAACAGCAAACACAAGCTATGCAAACAAAACAATCAACTATGTTGTAGAGAAGACGCTGCAGCACTGTCCAGTAACAGATGACGGACAGTGTGTTATAACACTTCTCTGTCACAAGCATACACGCAAAATATGAAGTAAAAACAGCAAGCAAGACACCAGAATTGTTCACGCAGTTCGGAGCAAATTCTCCTACGTCTGCAAGGCCCACGTCCGTGTAATAGCCCTTCCACTAAATCACCGTAAGAATTACACAATCAATCACAACAGAACCTTCTAATGTATTGATTTGTCTACTTACGAATGACTTGACGACAAACTCGGTTTGCGTCTATCTCCACGGCTTGTTACACCTTCTCAAAGATCTTCTTCAAGGACGTAGATTCCAATTGACCTTCAAATAAAGATTCTTCTTGATCTACAAAAATATGCAGGATGTTCAGAAGCTCATAACTCGAGATTGAACCGTTGAAATTCGATCTCCACCGTTCAGATTGAAGCTCCACGAGTCCTTAGACTCCTCCTAAAATTTCAGCACGATCAGACAAGATTTGGTACTCTAACCAACAAGAAAACTAGGGCTGCGTTTTCTGCAAAAAATCAGTATCAATGTGTAGATTGTAACTTTGATAACAGAAGATCCGTAACTCCGATTGACATGAAATTTTAACAAGTTGAAGCTCTATGTGTTGAGAACACCCTCTGAAAATTTCAGCAAAATCCAACGGTCGGATCTCCGGCGATGATCAAATCTGTGCGGGCTATCCAGAGAATTTATAGTCTCAAAATCTGCACCTTGTGTTTTTCTTTTGATCGAATTTGCTCCTGGTTTTTCGTAGTTTTGCACGTCCAAAACTCTAAGGGAGGGTGAAGATATTAATAGAATAGAATAGCCATGTTAGAGTGTGCTTAGGATTTTCAACCATGGTCTCCTCCTTATGAATTGTAAACCAAGTAGGATTAGAATCCAAGTAGGACTAGAATTCTCTCTTCAAGCTCTTTCTTCTTCTTCTTCCTTCACATGCTAGGACTCTAAGTCTAAATAAAATATCTAAAATAATTCTAGATAAATCTATTCGTTTGTCAAAAAATAATGCCAACACAATATGGAACTAACAGTACCGATATATACTGATCCTTATATATTGATTTAATATGGTTTGAGATGATTCGATATCAGTTTTCAAAATAATCGAGATGAATACAAGAAAAATTTATTTCAAGTGCATGTTAGTTTTTTTAAAATTCATCTAGTGAAGAATAGACTGAGAATATTTTTATGTATCATTGCTAAATTGCTTGTTAAATTTTTTTTTTCCCTCTCATGGGTTAAGGGAAGTATTTATACACTGCTTGCATGCCTTGCATATTATATTGCACGTATAGCTTTTATTATGCACGGGTCACAAGTGCATGCATTATACAGACACATTGCATGCACTCTATATACATACATTATACGTACGGATGTAATTTGTTTGCTAAGGCCGAGTTCTAAGGTCAATTGCCAAAGTCGATAGGGCCGATTGCTGGGGCCTAGTACAAATGACTTTGAGAACATGATATATATCGGTAATTATTAAAAAATGTCAATCACATCTCAAAAAATAAAAAATAAAAGTATAATTATTGTAGTGGATGCGAGGGACACTACACGTGTGAAGTCAGTGAGATGGTGAGTAATGCATGCGTTAATAATATGACGTTGAGTGGTTGCTGGTTTAAAATAATCGATGGTGACAGGGCCGGTCCTGAGGATTCATCAGCCTGGGCCGAAACAGAAAAAAGGCCCTAAGTATTTCTTCATCTTGTTTTCTCTTTTTTTCTTTTTTGACTACCCGATAATTGTTTAGGGGCCATAGCTATTGAATTATTTCTGAGATAAAATCCGAATTCATAAATTCTACTAAGTAAAATCAAGAATAAAAAAGTAAAAAAAGCAAGCAAATAAATAAATATATCATAAATTAATATCAATTCGTCAATTTTTCTTTTTTTAATTGTTTTTTTATTTTTCAGTTTTATTTTTTTAATAAATCATAAATTCATAGCAATTCATCAATTTATCAGTTTTTAATTTTTTTTTTGGTTTTCAGTTTTTTTAATATAAATATATAATTATCATAAATAACAAATTCAAATCAATTCATCCAAATCAAATAAATAACATATAGAACCATTCATTCATTCTATTTCAAAGAATGAAATTAGAAAAAATTTCAAATTAAAAACTAAGAATTAACCCTAGATTTTAAATAAAAAAAATGAAACAATGAAAGAAAATTAAGATTTAAGAAATAAAAATTACAAAATTGGAAAGGGAAGGCTATGAATAATTACCTGGAGGGTGGAGCCGTGCAGGTCCGGCGGTAGAGACGGGGAGTCGGGCAGTCGGCTCTCTTGTTTCTTCCGGTGACGTTTCTGGCTTTCTGCGTTTCTTCGGACTTCGATCGGCCTTGCACTGCTTTTCTTCAGTTTTTTTTTGGGTCTACACTCTACAGAATACGGATGAAGTGATGGACTGATGGAGGCATGGAGACATGGGCTGGGCTAGAGTCCTAGAGGTAATAAGTTAAAGGGTGGGTATTGGGCCTGGGGTTATACATATATATATATAATACTTAAAAAAAAATTTGTGCCCCTAAATTTTTTGGGCCCGGCCCGAACGGACACCTTGTCCCCCTATTGGGCCGGCCCTGGATGGTGAAGTGCTACACACAGTCTAAGCATAATGCATCTGCAAGTACGAGATACATGTTATACTCTTCGCTATCGAGTCTGTGGTGATACCTGTCACGTGATTCGGCCGGTAATAATTTACATCTTGCGAGTTCTAAATTTTACCCGTGCGATGCACAATGAGAGTACTATCAAAAAATTTATGTAAATAATAAATAACATAGAACCATTGCAATTAAAATAATTAACTTTTAAAAGACTTCATCCCCAAGTACTATATGATTGAATAGTAATAATGCTTCTACTGTTTTCCATAATTTTAGAGTTCATGATACAAATTAAATAGAACTCCCACCGTTTCTGAATACTTGTCTATTTTGACTATTTTGGTCAATGTTGGTAAACCTTGACCTCAGATTAAATAAAAATGATATTAAATGTTGATACACAAATAGTCCATTAGATTTATTATATTAGATATTTTCAAAATATTATTTTATCTAATTAATATACAATATATATTTTATTTAATTATAGGTCAAAGGTAAAAAATGATTGATCGAAAAAAGTCAAAATCGGAAAAATATTCAAGAACGGAGGTAGTACTCCGTAGAACACTTATAAATTCTGGATAATTTATTTGCACACATTTGAAGTGTATTATTCTCTTCATTGCAACTTAAGATTTTCAATCCTTCTTAATTTGTCACATAAAAATAGTAACACAAAATTGACCATAGTTAAAGAGTGTTTTTTTGTAGTTAGCATACATGAGATAGCGACAGAAATTGTGATGTATAATAACACCGAATTTATAGAAATTTACGAGTTTTGGCCAATGTGAAACTACTAACACGAGTTAACAAAAATAGCGTGTTTTGCGCAAGAAAATAAAAATTAGGATTATTTTTTATATTTTTTGTTTTTATTTCATTTTTTTAAATTTCTCTTAAATTTTTAAATTGAGTTCCTACCACCATCGTTTTTCTTATTTTTTTCAAAGATTAGTCTTAATCCAAAAAAAGATAAAAAAATTAAAATTGATAAGAAAAATAAAAATATAAAGCGTGGTGGGTTCTATTGTTTAAGGTATTATACAGAGTATAAATGTATTAGAAATCACTGTAAATACGACTAAAATATAGAAAAAAGTACCAAATAGAACTTTCATATTTTTATCACGAAATAAGACTTTGCACTATGGTAATGTGACACTGTATATGTGCACATCAATAGGCCTTTTTGCTAATATACATGACCATGTTTGGTAACGTAAGTCTTCTTTCGGGAATATAAACATGAAAGTCCTATTTTGGTATATTTTCAATGTTTTAGTCCTACTTTGGTCTTTCTTCCTAAATGTATTGCTACCTACTAATAGTAAAAATGAAAATAAAAAACAAGAAATAATTTTTTTTCTAAATCCCTAAAAATGGAAATAAAAATAATAATACATTAATACTTTGTATACTGCATAAAATATTTGGACTAGCCACTCCGCATATTTTTATTTTAGTTTCTTACTAGTTCCAGGTTAGTTACGATTGATTACCTTATTAATTTTATCAATTTTGTATGTTTTTGTTTGTTTTTCTTTTCTTTTCTTTTTGTTGTTTTTTATATCTATTTTCAATTTTTTTAATGTTAAGACTAATCCTTAAAAAAAATAAAAAGCAATGATGTAGGTAGAAAGTCATTTTAAAAATTTAAAGGAGAATTTCAAACAAATAAAAAATTAACTAAAAAATGAAAATTCACAAAAAATAATCTCAAATTTCATTTTGTTGCGCGAAACATGCTATTTTTGTTAAACCGTAGCGCAGTTAGTAGCTTAACGGCGACCCAAAGCTTACAAATTTGAATAAAGTTGGAGTTTTATGCATCATAGTGAAAAATGAGTTTTTTTTTTGAAAAATCGAGTAAAATTGAGATTATTCAGGAAATTTTTTCCTTAAATATATTCCTCCATCACAAATTAAGTTATATGTTTATTATTCACATGGTCAAACTTTGTTCACTTATTTTCCAATTTCCGTTACGCATTTGATAAAATAGATTAGTCCTAGGGGTGTAAACGGATATTAATCGGATCGGATGTGTCATTACCAAATCCGTATTCGTTTATTTTTTTCGTATATCGAATTTGGATACGGATCTTGACGGATATTGAAAATCAAAACCGTATCCGCATCCGTCGGATATTGGTCGGATATCGGATATATCCATATCGGTTTCCAATTTTTAAAATCAAATTAAACAATACTTAAATTTTAAAATAGATTAGAGTCAAACTATTATTAAATCAACTATAATTTGTTATGGGATAATTATTTTCTTTGTTTTCATAATTTATGATATTCTGTTATAACTTCATATGATAAAAAGATATACACAACACACATATACACATATTTTTATATGTTGCACATCTTTTGATGTGTCTACACATTTATTTTGTGCATAAAAATATTTTATACTTTGAAATATCAATAGAGAAACAAAATATAAACATAAAAAATTAGGAAAAGCTATATATAACGGATCGAATATTCGGATAAACGGTTATTTAAACGGATGCATATTCGGTTCGGATTTTAAACGGATCGGATATAAATTACCAAATCCGTATCCGTTTAGTAATCGGATATCTTTAATCGGATACAGATAATATCATTTAAAACGGATGCAGATATTTCCTCTTTAAACGGATACGGATGCGGACGGTAATCGGATTTTCGGCTATCCGTTGACAGCCCTAATTAGTCCTATCAACTTTTGTTTAGTAGAGCTCTGGATGTATTTTTGTAAAATGTAAATTTTACTTTTTTATTCCATTTCAAATTTCAAATAAATTATATTCAAAATAATTCCAATCAAATAACTTAATTGAAAACAAGCAATTTAAATTAGAACGGTATACACTTTATAATTTTAGAAGTAATATTTCCAAGTGCCATTTTAGAAAAAAAGAGAGGAAGTATTGGGCCGTTACACGAATGGGCCGCAAACTACGTCTCGACTATCGCCCCAACCCTAATCCTTGTTCCCCCGATTATTATAAGATCGCTTTACAAACATCTCCTCTGTTCTGGCCTCCTCCCGATTCGGCGCGTGCTTCTCCCCTCCGTCCCACCTCACTCAGGTACTTCATTTTCTGTTCTCATCTCCGGCGATCTCCCCTGCTTCAACTTCCGACTCCGTCGAATGTTCTTTAGGAAAAGTTTTGTTTTGTTTCTTAACCAGTTGATGTTTTTTTATCATTAGTGAATTTGTAGATCTTTGTTCAATAGTTGCATTGAATCACTGCAGATCTTCTATTATACCCGAGTGTTTGTGTTTTAATTTTAGTTAATTCTAATGGATGTGGAAATCTGCAACTCCATCAGCTTTTTGTTTGCTTAGTAGAAATGTAACTATATATATTCAGATAGAAGCTGGATTGATGTGGGAATTCAAATTTTTAGTTCAATTTATTCAGTGAGAGCACAAGTTCTTTTATCGCCATTTTTATTGAGTTGTGGATATATTTCAAAATGAACGTTATTTGGAATGACCCCATCTATGGTTATTCCCATATTTAGTTTTTTTGCAGTACTCTTTAAAATTTCTGCTCTACAGATATTGAAAACAACATGGGACTATGATTTGAAGCAATATGCTCAACTGTGTGTACGCTAAGATTCACCATAACAGAGTGATTTCTTGATATGTACATTGAAATTTTTTAGTAAGATTATAAGATATGGTCAATTTTGCTGGACAAAACATGTTCTTCTCGAAATACAAAAGTTATATGGAGTATGAGTTAGAATGGTAATTATATTTAAGACATTACATATTTTTTCTGTTAGTTTCTACCAATATGGTACACTTTTTGTAAAAAAAAAGATGCATTTAGAAGGCTTCTGACATGTGATTGATCTTAGTGAAAAACATGGGAACATTTTATGATTTGAATTTAGTATGGAATGCCTCTTCTATGTTTTATAGAAAACAGCTTTCTTTAATTGTTTATCTTTATCAATGATAGCAAAGCAGTTGCCTTTGCCATCAGGGTTCAACATGTTCACTGCATCACAGAAGATCCACAAGGATAAGGATGTCGAACCCTCTGAGTTTGAGATTACTGTTGCCCAGGTCACCAATGGCTTTCCATTGATTTTTTAAACTTTTTTGTATGTTGTTTTGTTGAAGAGTGTCTTCCATTCCATTTCCACTAACAGAGCTTATTCATTTATGCAGGCACTGTATGACTTGGAAAACACCAACTCAGACCTCAAGAGTGACCTGAAAGACCTCTTTATTAACGCTGCCACGTATGAAACATTACCATCTCCCATACATTCTCACCACTTGGCCTCTTTACTGAGTGATGCTTATTTTAATTTTAAAACTATGTTATGCAGTCAGATTGATGTTTCTGGAAGCCGCAAAGCGGTTGTGGTCCATGTTCCTTATAGGCTGAGGAAAGCTTTCCGGAAGATTCATCCCAGGCTGGTCAGAGAGCTTGAGAAGAAGTTCAGCGGGAAGGTAATGCATTTACATACCTTGTACCCATCTAGTCTTCTTCTAGTCTTACATGACTACTGGAGTTATCCTTTGTGATTACTTGATTATTCTCATCTGCTGATCACCATTGAAGTATTGACTTTTCCTTTTTTAATGCCTTGGGTTTTATACAAAACATGATTTGTACTCATTTATGACCTATCTCATTCTCAAAACTATCTTAGTCATTATTCATCAACAGCCCGTGATTTTCTTCTTTGATAATCACATTGCTTGTAGGATGTTGTTGTGATTGCCACACGAAGGATAGTGCGCCCTCCAAAGAAGGGTGCCGCTGTTCAGAGGCCCCGTTCCCGTACAATGACTGCTGTGCACGAGGCTATTCTTGAGGACATGGTCTTCCCAGCTGAGATTGTTGGGAAGCGCATAAAATACCGTATTGATGGGTCAAAAATAATGAAGGTAAGCCAGTTACTCATAAGTATAATACCATAACATTTTTTTTCGCTACCATTCATCCACCATATATGTAAACATTTTTTTTCTTGTTTTAGGTTCTATTGGACCCAAAGTCCAGGAATGACACCGAATACAAATTAGATACGTTTACCAGTGTCTACAGGAAGCTTTCCGGGAAAGATGTAGTCTTTGAGTATCCACTTACCGAGCCCGTAAGTGCCTAGATGATACTCTCATGTTTGATGAACATCTTGAACTCAAGAATGTCTGTTTCTGCTCTCTTTTCTTAGGTTTTTGTTTTGAAATTTTGACTGGGGTTCTTATCTGCCAATGTTTGATTTCTAAGCAGAATATTTATTGACGTTTTGTTGTACCTTTGAACTTGAAAAGATTGCATTTTGGGTTTTATCTTTGTGGATGCCTATTTTCGAGCTCATTATCTTCATATCTCAGTAAGTGTATATAACAAAGCATCTTTTTTTTCACATGATGGGATTAAATGATTCATTTGGATAATAAATCATTTAATTAGAAATTGAATGAGGCATTTCAATTTCTCCCATAACTTCACTTTCTCTCCCCCCCACCCCCACCCCGGCATATCCCCGCTAGTATCATACTCTGTAAACTTTAAAGCCTATTTTGATGCAAAAAGATTAAGAGAGAATTTGATACTAATACTTAAGAAATTTATGATTTTATGTGGATACTCCTATGTTAGAAAATTTGATACTAATACTTCAAGAAATTTATAATTTTATGTGGATACTCCTATGTTATAAGATTATCTCTCACGAGCTAAAATTGTTGAAAAATCCTGGAAAACAACTCGAAATCCCTGGAGCTAATCCAATAACTAGGAGGGTTAGAACCATGAGCTAATTTTTTAAAAGGGAATTAGAACCATCAATTTTTTTGTAATGGAACATTGTAGATATCTCGAGTTAGTATAATGTCATAATATGTCACCAAAATTGGTTTCATTTTAGCTTAACCAAATTGAATAAATGTTTATCTTAATACTCCGTCCCATTTTATAATGTCTGTTTTAGGTTACAATGTATAACTGAAATTATTTTTAAATCATTTTATATGACAAATTGTATAAAGTTAAAAAAATAAAAATTACATATTAAAATACTACATCAAAAGATCTACTCCCTCCGTCCCATTTTAAATTGTCTGTTTGCTTTTTTTCTCCGTCCTAAAATAAGTTGCCTTTTAGGTGTTTTCGTAAACTTTTAAAAATAAAATACCTAAACTACCTCTAAAATAAGTCACTCTTTTTCACCTTATCTTCTTATTCATCATCACCCCTTCTAAAAAGTAATGACAATTTTAGAAAATTAACTCTATTTTTTATTTTTTCTTAAATATGCTCAAAAGTCAAAACAGGTGATTTAAATTGGGACGGAGGGAGTACAAAATTAGTAATGACAATAGTATTTTATTTTATCAAATAACTAACAAAAATAGAAAAAGAAAGTGAATGAAGTTTGACCATGTGAATAGTGAACAAACAATATAATTTGGGACGGATGGAGTATTTATCAATGAAATTTGCTTTAGATAGTACTCCATTAAAATTTGTATCGTTAATGTAGTATTTAAATTTTTTTATTTTATAAATAGTATTTGAATAATGTCTAATGGCGAGAACAATGTACAGTGATGGTGGGATTTAGTGTGAATAATGTTCAATGAGGATGAACATTACTTGAACAATGACCAACGAAAAATGACCAATGCTACTATATTAGAAAATAAAAAACATGGTACCTAATTGAAAAGTTATTATGTTTTGATACTATTTTTGCAAATTTTCCTATTTATTAGTCATATTCTCCGTAGATTCATATCACTTTAAATGCACATAAGAATTTGTCAAGAATACGTAAATATTGTGCTGCATGTAAAGAAGTGTCACTAGAAACAACGTTATGACTATCATAGCATGGATAACATTTTCAAAATCTATCTACTTTTATATTATTAAAGTTTTTTAAAAGCTAAGAGTAATGGAAACATTAGTTTTCATACAATGTTATTAACAACGGTGGGGTTCTAGTGACACTCACTTCTGGTGACACTAGCAGTTCCACTGTAATTTTGATGCACTTCCAGTGTTACGCTCGCAAAATTGATGATTCCTAGCCACCCTAACCACCCTCTAAACCCCCACCCTACCCTCACCCTTGCACCCCCAACTGCCGTAAGCCCCCACAAAATATGTGGCTATTATGCATTGCACAATAGCTACACATTTTGTGGGGGGGCTTATGGCGGGGTTGGGTGGTGGTGCAGAAGTGGGGGTACGGTGGGGGGTTTAGGGATCGGGTTAAAGGGTTAAGAACTGTCAATTTTATGAATGGAGCACCAGAAGTGCTCCAAAATAACAGTGGCACCAGAGTGTCACCGTACTTCAGTGTCACCAGAACTCTACCGTATTAACAAATATCGAGTAACAACTAATTTTAAGCAAATTGTCTTTCAAAATACAAAACTATATTTACTCCATAAGTAACTTTAAGAAGATTACGAGCAGAAAAGTAAAGTACTCCATCCGTACTATATTATTTGTTTTATTTCGAATTATATACTAATTTTGACTACTAATTATATTTAGTTTTAAATACATAAAAGTTATAGAATGAGTCTAATTATTCTAAGTTTAAATTATACTCCGTATTTAAATAGTACGGAGTACATTTTTCTTAATAAAGTACTCCGTAGTATACAAATTAAACTATCACAAATCCTTTATATATAATATTTGGAAGTTAAACTCCTAGAAATTCAACATGTGGCAGGCTACTTGGCAAATTTTTTTACACATCATCAGCCACATTTGATGACTTAAGTGACTTGGTAATTTTAACTTAAAGTATGAAAACATCTTATTAGAGCAAATATTCATTCACAATTATTGCACATATGAAAAACTTTTACGAGGTATATGTAAAGTAATTACAATTAGGAGGTTATAAATGTTAATTATAAACAACTTTCAATTAATTACTAATGACATTTATTGGCTAATCCTTCCTTTTATTATAAAATTTGAGACTCTGGCTTACATGATATTGGCATGTCACGAGCTAATATGACATTTTTANTGACTAATTTATTTGTCTTTTTAGTTTAATGCAGTTAATCTTAAGAATTAGTAACTCTATTGTTTTTAACACCCAGTTCATTTTTCGAATGATATGTTTGACCAATGAAATTTTTTATCAAACATATTTTTTATTTTGAGATTATAGTCTAATTTTTAATATTTCAATTCATTATATATTTATATAAATAATTATTCAAGCATTTGACAGCAAAGCGAACTGAGACAGTTAATGAATAAAGTTTTTAGAATTATTTAAAAATACCAATTTATTTACCATATATACGTATGGGGGGTAAAGAACACTTTCTATTTTTGGATTTAGAATCACTCCCTCTGTCCCCTTAAGATCTTCTCATTTTGACTTTTTGTGGTTTCTAAGGAGAGTTGAAAAATGTTAAAGTTTACCATAATACTCTTAATGAAAATGGGTGGAGTGTATTAAATGAGGTAGATGGGGTGTAATAAATAAAGTAAGTGGGAATAGTTGTGGTATATATTTTAATTGTTAAAAAAGGTAATGAGAAGATCTATGGTGGACAAATAAAAAGGGTTAATGAGAAGATCTATGAGGGACGGAGGGAGTATATTTTGGCATAAAAAAGTGATTTAGATTCATCCATTTTTATGAAATGATTAATTATGCACCTACTTCTCTGAATGAATTATATTAATTTTATATTTAGGTTAGTGGTCTTATACTAAACAAAAAGAATGGGTTTGGTTGCTACATATCTTTATCTTTATATATTAAATTTAAGAGTTAAACTCATAGAATTACAATAAGTGGTGAGTCTACATTGCAACATTTTAACAAATCATCCGCCACCTATACGGAATACGAAGTGCCACTATAATTATTTGGGAAAAAAACTAAAATAAGATTAGAATACGGAGAAAGTGCCAAAATATGAGTTTCATATTTTTTATCTCCAAAATATTAACTACAAAACCAATATTTTATTATATAGTGCTAAAAACATTATGAAATGGTAATATACATTGCCACAACGTCACTGTGTAAACTTTATTTAGGAAATAAAAATATTGAACTCTTATTCTGGGCATAAGATTTATGTCTTACTTCTATTTGAGTGATTTTTTTAGTTTTGTTTAAGAAATATATACAGAGTAATATATATGGAGTAGTAACTACCAAAAGTTTCCTTCTACACTTATATTACCTTATATATCTTCTTTTTTTTTTTTTTTTACAAAATCATCATCTTCAACTTCTTGGGAACCTCTTTGCATATCTTTCTTTTTTTCTTCTATAGTATAGATAGGTGAAATTGTGAAAACTATTGTGTAATTGATGATGTACTCACACTTCATTATTTGGTAAGTTTAAGGGAGTGCATCATTAGCAATCTTTTAAAAAGGAAATTGATAGCATTATTTTTTGGTGAATTATATTATTTTCCATATTCTTTGCGGAGCTTACGAGAACAGATTTCCAATTTTGTTGATCGGAACTCTAAAATTTATTATTTAGCTACTAAATATGAAGAGATTCCTTTTTTTCTATATAACAAGGTTAAAGTATACAAAATTTGACCAAAAAAAGTCAAATGAAAATATTAAATCCGAATGGAGACTAATAAGATCGAGACTAAGTTACAAGTTACAACCACATCAAAGAAAAATATAATTTCATATTTATAATTATTTCTATTTTGATAAAACATTTTGTATATTGACGAGAATACTATCAATGGCTTGAATGATTTTGCATTATAAAAGTGAAAAAGAAAAGTTTGCATATGATCTTATGAGATACTTATCTACGATGAATGAATATCAGCACAATATATACAATGAGATAATGAGAGTTGTGACACCTGAAAGAGGAGGTTTCTTTTTTATGTATGGTTACAGTGGAACTGAATTTTTTTTATAGAAATCAGTGTTTATTTCTCTAATGTCAAATGATAAGATTGTCTTGAATGTCATATCCAGTTGTATTGCAACATTACTTTTTCATGGGGGAAGGACATGGGTGAATGACATTACACTTGAGATTCTCAATCTCTTTGGACGATTGCATAACGTGTGCCATCAAACAAGAGAGTCCAAAAGCAGAACTAATCCAACAAGTAAGTCTAATAATATGGGATGGAGCATGCATGATGAATAGATTTATTTTTAAGGTGCTGGATCACAAAATGAGAGATGTAATGAATTTATCTAATAAAAACTCTAGAAATGAACCATTTGGAGGGGAAATACTTGAATTCGGAGGGGAAAAAGTAGGACTCGAAGGGAAAATAGTTGTACTCAGAGGTGATTTTTGGCAAACTCTTCCTGTTTTACCCAAAACTTGAAGAGAGAAAATTGTGAGTGATATCATCTATTCTTTAAAATTATGGTCGTATTTTAAAATTTTTTCTGATTGGATAATTAAAGTTAAAGATGAAAAACTTAGATAAGTGATTGATGAAACAACTGACCTTAAAATTCCGCATAAATTATTAATTTTAGACACAAGTTATTTTGTGAAGAGTATAGTGGACTTCACTTATCCTAATCGAACCTATTGGAGAGTATGAAAATTTATTCATTTTTTATGATATGGCACTACTGGACCATGCTTGAGGTTGTAGATATGGTAAATGAATTTGTCATATCCCTCATTACCTAATATGAAATGGTGTGCCTGAGTTTTGATTCTTCATGTCAGGCCAATTCAGATGTAATTATTGATGACAATTAAATAACAATTAAATTTTAAATGAAATCAAATGTTCGGGGATCCAAAACTACAAAATAATCTTAAAATGGCTTAACGATTTTAATATTGAGAAACATTGACCAAATATATGGATTATGTAATGGTACACGATTAATCCTTGAAGAGCTATGAAAGAATGTTGTTGGTCGATTGTGGTTTTGAGAAATCGAGTCAGCAAAAAGTTTACATACTCCTAATGAAATTGATACCATCTGATCTAGGACCACTCTTAAAGTTATTTATAAGGCAAATATCAATAGTCTTATATTTTGCAATGACTATCAACAAAAGTCAAAGTCAAACATTGTCATTTCTTGCATTACTTTTAACCAAGTTGGTATTCACTCATGGTCAGCTTTATGTTATGGTTCCATGAGTGAAGACAAAAACAAAATTAAAAATATTAGTTCTAGATGACAATGATACTCTTGCAACTATATCAAAAAAATTATATACCCTACAGTCTTTCAAAAAGTTTGGTATTAAAAAAAACTTGGTTGAATACACATTCAATTTCTCAAATATTGTTTATTCTACTTTGGAATTTTTGTATATAGTATTAAAAATCATAGAGAAATATATTTTCTTTATTCTGGGAAAGAATATTACGTTAAAAAAGTTTTAGAACCAATAAAAATTTTGTTCGACCCCGTGCGTTGCACGGGTAAAAATACTAGTAATTAAAAACTGATCAGTAAAATCTTTTACTCCTACTACAGTATTTCGTTAGGGTTTACTTGTTCGTTCGAAATTGGGGAAGGGAGAATGTTAGAGTTTTCTTGATCATTCGAATTTGAGCAAGAAAGAAAAATAGAGTATAAAGGTGTTTTTATTGTGGGAACTGGGAACGGAAAGTTCAATTTTTTTAGTCGACCCCAAAATCTCCGGCAAATCGCCGGGAAGCACAAATGGCGGAGTTAATATGCAGAAGCCTCCGGGACGGAGCATTAGAAGGCGAGCACGCCCCTGCTCTCACCTTAAAGGACTCCATTGAATCACCTCTCGGACCGGTTGTTTTCGATCACATTCTCTCCCAGCTTTTTTCCAGCATTTCGGCCGGTAAATCGCAGTCTCGGTCAGTTCATTTGTCCAGCAAGCTCAATTCATAGTTCAGAAGATTGGTGGAATGAAAAAAGATTAGATTAGGGTTTAAGTTTGTTTGGGTATTTATGTTAACTAATGCACCTTGCAGAGGAATTTTGTTGGTAGCTTTAACTCGGCCTCCGTCATTCTATGCTGAATTGCTCAAATGTAGAGGAAGTGACGCCGATTCTTCAAATAAATGGTTTGATTGACAATTATGAAACTATTGGTACATTTTTTTTGTTGAAACACATGAAAAGGTTGATTATCTCTATCTGCTGAAAATTTAACAGGCTTAGTGTTTTGGATTGTTACACGGATCCTCTAGGGTGGAAAACCCGGCTCATGGAGAGTGGGACTGTTAAGAATACCTCTTTAGAGACTTTGGTTACGGCTACCAAATTCACCCAAATGAAGGACTCAAATAAGTTATTGACTGCAATTATTGAACAAGGAAAAGGTACGAGCTGTAAAATTTCATACAATTTCCAGGCACATAGTTGGGGATGAAGATGGACTTTGTGTGTAGTGGTGTCATTGTTTTATTGTTCTGTGTTCCGTGTTGTCTACAGAAATTGTTGGGGAAGGAAAAGGACGATTTTCAGTTGCCATAGATTCGGTAATCGTACTTAATTATCTCAAATTAAAAGGGAATATGTGTGTGTTCACTTTTCTTATTTGGTGCAAGTGTTATTGACATTTTGATTTCTATCTTTAGGTAAGTGAGATACTTAGGCACTCATCCATTCATTCGGTAGCCAGAATTTTGAGCTGCCTGCGTAGTCATGGTATACTTCATTGCTTATTTGCTTGCATGTGGAATTATTTTTTTAAATAATATACTCCGTAGATGTAAGTGAGGGAGGCAAAGACAATTTACTACAAATGACTAAAAGAACTAGAAACTGTCACTATTGTATCAAAGGAAGTGATATCCTCAAACGTGTTTACTTCTTCACAAAAGTAATGAAATTTAACTTGCAAATATAGCGCACTCTTTTTCAGTTCTAGGATATTTCAACTTTAAGGGCAAATACGGCATAGTATGCCAACTATTAAAATATCTATACTTTGTAGGAAGATTCTCTTTTACAGAGTACCTCCTATTTATATAGCTTAAGGAAGATAGAGACTTCAGTCCTTACCACATGGTGATAAATTTTAATTTTTACATGAATTCTTGATCTACGAGGTATGATATATTGTTCTTAATTAACACTTAGTATATCATTTTTATGTCATACACTTCCTTTTTCAGAAAAATAATCGTATTTAAAAGATTTTTTTTAATTAACAAAACGGGAGCCATGTATGAGTGTGATCAAAAGAAACTATTTTCCATTTTATTAAATTTATTTCTTCAAGAAGATTCCCAAACATGTAAAAATTTAGTTAAATCAACGTATCGATCTTAAAATATAGCTAAAATTTATAAATGTATATTCTGTGATGCGCTCCAATCAATTTTTCTGAGGTGCTTTCTTATATTTCCGTTGACAATTTGGATCTAGTCATTCTTCTTTAGGATGAGAAAGTTTAAAAAGTTTCTTCGTACTTGATTTTTGGTTGCAGACCAGGTTTCGAGCATGTTTTATTTGTTGAATTCAGACCTTCATGAGACCAAATCTGCTTCTACTCTTGAATATTTGTCAACAATATGTGCTGATATAGTACCAGTGCCTCAGACAGTAAGTGGACAGCGTGTTACCACAAATAACCTCTCAATGGTGGAACAGAACTTTAAAAAAGGGCAGTTTCATGTACGCTCTAAACGCAGGAATGGCCGTGTTAAAGTCACGGTAACTTGCCTCTAGTAAATTACAACAGCCTACTAAATTACCCACCATGAAACCCTGACACAAATTACACTATATTGTTTCAATAATCGTTCAAATCATCTCCGTTTAAATTTATTTTTCACTTTGTGGTCAGTGCGAAGAAATCCTTGTTGAGGATTCAGGCATTAAATTTGCACCTGCTACTTTGGAAGATGGCCTAACTGCACATAGCCTTGTTCCCAAGGTACCCTCGCATGAGATATATATATTTTTACCTCTCCTCAGATAGAGGTGTCTTTCGTATGTTAAGTCATCCCATACTAGAGGCCATTCGATTCACTGCCTTGGCATGTCTACCGCTACCCCCCACCACCTTTCAACTTTTAAATTGGAGTACTTATTATTAATTTTTAAATAAAAAGAAGTCATAGTAATTTTTATATAATGGAAAAACATTCAAAATGATTCTTGAAATGAATTTAACACAATCATATCAAACATGCAACCCGAAAACCAAATCTTCTTGTTTGCTTCCTTATTCAAACCCATAATCATGAACCAAATAAGCTTGAGTATTTCTCTTAATAGGTTGACCTTTTAGGATTTAGATTTAACCTGAATCTGTAATAGCATATTGTGAATTTTTATCTATAAAACAATCTCTTATGAATTAAAGAGATGAGTAAATCTTCATGACAGGTACAATTTAATCTGCAGCTGTCCGAAAAGGAGCGACTTGATCGTGAAAAAGTTGTTCTCCCATTTGAGCACCAAGGTATATGAAGGTTTTTCAAATCATTATTGCATGCTTGTCCTTAATCTTTTTTTTAGTTAGTGTCAGCTTGACAACACACAAACACGCATGCAGTGCTGCTACCTACCTCAACTTTTCTAGGTTTGACTATTTTGGTCAAATGCTTACATATTTTAGTGAAACTAATATGTTCTGTACTTTTACCAAAATAATTCAAACAAAAAAACGTTTTTGTATTGCTTCCATGTTAAAGATCATTCTTACAAAATTTTTAAAGTTTTACAGTTTGGCTAAAAATGTTTTTTCTTTCTTTTTTTTCAGGGAATGGAAAACCCATTGAAATATATGATGGAAGGAAATCCCTGAATGAGGACACAAATAAAAATGGGAATGCTTCAACTAAGATTATGCAAACAATGGAGGATTCTGGTAGGGGTGAAATAATCTATTTTCGAGATTCAGATGATGAGATGGCAGATTCTGATGAAGACCCTGACGATGATTTGGACATTTGATTTCCCTCTTTCTTTCTTTGGCCTGTGATTTAGTAAAGTCAAACAAGGGAGCACTGCACCCTTGCAGTGTTGTTTCTGACCAGGTACCAATATTGTACCAATGTCTGGTTGAACAAATCAATGTCATTGTTATTTTTTTTTAAGAAAAAAAGGATTAATCTCATTCCCGAGTGTCCTCCAGAACTGGTTGGGCGATCACCTGAGAAGAGGTAAATTAAGTTTTATTCACATATTAGTTGCAAAGACTGGAACTTGCACCTAATAACCTCTGAGGTTTTATGCTTAATATAATAGTGTCTCATTGCATTTGCTAAGAATCGAATTCGGGTATTATCCCCGTGCTTTTTTAAAAGAAAAACGTTAGGTAGTATTTTGGAATTTATATTCTGTATATCATTTGAAATTTTATATTTCGATTCTAAAATTTGAATTGTTAGATTTTAAATTACAAGGGGGAGTCTGAATTTTTAGTTAAACTTTGTTAGATATTAGAGGAATTTGATCCAAATTCAATTTTTTAAACTACTCAATATGTAATTTGGATTAAATCCAAACTTGAAATTCAAATCTAAATTCCCAATCAGGCCATTTAGAAATATCATCTACAAAATTTTAGGACTTTTTAAATTGTTTATTGGAGAGAATAGTAACAATAGCAATATACATACGAGTACAAAAAAAGTCATGCAGAACATCGTTATATTTAGTTGTCATTTTCAGACATTGAACTCGAATTTACTTCTTTGACACTTGCCTCTGAACTACCTGAGCTATGTCACACTGGTTATCATTTTCTTTGTCAATGATAAAGTTCTTCGCATCATTTTTATGGTCAAAAGAGAAGAAATATACATGGATGGATTCTTCATTTTTTTAAATATAGAAAGTAGTTTGGTGAGACGCAAGTTATTAAAAGCGGTCCAATGCTAGCTAGCTTAGGTAAATCTTGGACGTATTATCATGGAGTATTATATTAATGGTAGGGTTTTTAGTGAATGGTCTTTTTGTCACAACTTGTTGAAGACTTTTGGTGATGGAGGTGTTTAGGAATTAGGAGAGGATTGAAGTCCTTTCTCATATCAAATCACACCACTAACGTTTTTTAGTTCTTATTTATGAAAATTAATAATTACTACCTCCGTCCCAGTGTATTTGTCCAGTTTAACTTTTTCGAGTCAAACTGGACAAACTTTAAACTCTAATTACTCTCAATTTATATTTCATATTAGCATAAATCCAATAAAATCATTTTTATGTTCAAAAAATTACGGTTTTTATTTAATTGAAGTTCAAAGTTTATTCAATTTGACTCTAAAAAGTCAAACTGGACAAATACACTGGGACAGAGAAAGTAATTATTAGAAGTATTTTGGGAAAAGAACCAAACTATGAATAAAACATCTAAAAAGTACCAAAGTACGAATATTATATTTATTTTTATCTCAATCAAGCGGTGGTAGAGGATTTATAGTGCCTCGCCAAACACTACACAAAGAATCGGGCAGTAATAGGCTATTTCGGCGCTATCAGGGTCTGATTAGCGCTGCTACACTCGAATTCATCTCTCGCAGGAACACGTCGCGGCGGCGATTTTCAACATCTCACTTCTAGAACAGTACAGGGTGAAGATCGGGCGGACCAGAGCAGTCAAAGATGGAGAAAACTAGGGTTTTATGTTCCTATTGGCGAGACGATGAAAGAGATGGCTGCGTGGAGTTGCAAAATCTTTACATTTTTTACCATATTTTGGAATTAGATTTCAATTTATACCCAAAGCCCCAAAATCCATCAAAATCCATATTTTATAAAAATCTTTTAAAATTTATAGATTTTTGAATACCATTAGATTTAGAAGGATCTTTTAAAATTTAAATTGAATATATTCAGATTTTAAATGACTTTTTTAAATCTAAATTGAATACCTACAGACTTTTAATATCCAAAAAAGTGCTACAGAATCGGGATTGAATACACTCCCCTAAGTGTTAAATAAGACAAAATAATTTTAAGAGGGATTATGTTTGTAATAGCTAACCACTCAAATACTAACAATAAAGGATGAACACTATCTTAGTATCCTCTCAGCTCCGACCTGAAAATTATTTGAGTGAGTAAAATAAAATTCTAATTTTAACGCGCCAATAAAAAATGAATCTAGCCAATAGTGGAAGTAAATAAAGCTTTAAGACTTAAGATATCTGTGAATATTTGGAGTTCATATTTTTTAAAAAAAAATATAATAACCAAACGTATACATAAATTAAGATCAATTCACCTTTTCATCATAGATCCCTAAATATAAGCTCAATTCAAGTTCTTTACTATATACTCTGTATTAGTCATTTTCTCCATATTTTATTTGTTCGTTATGTGGATATTTATTATTCTATGTATTCATAAAATTATACTTTTGATAACACTATTAAGGCAAATATGATATTCAAAACACATTTAATTTTAAATTCAGGTATAATATTTGAGTTCAACTATTTTAACAAATTAAAATCTATTTGGTATATTTTTTAGAATCAATGAAAAAATTAAATTTAAAAAATAAAAGTTTATTTTGGATATTTCATTGATTTGTTCCGAAATTTTGGATATTAGAAAATTTAAAGATTGGACATGAAATAGATTTTTCCAATTCAAAAATTTTAGATATTCAGATCTACGGCCCAAGACTGGATCGAATCAATCCGAATGAACATCTCTAGTGACACAATCCTCTTGACCAGCAGATCTACAGCCCAAGGCACGTCACCCTAGGGTTGTAAATTAACCAAATAATTTTGGTTGGATTCATGATTTACATTCATTTATATTGATTGGTGTTCAAAAAAATTGAATCCAAATTTGTATAACATTTTTTATTTTTTAATCAAATATATCCATAATCGATTCGTTTCTAAAAGAATATATTCGAAAAGATATGGCAACATTATAAATATTAAAAAGTTATAGAGTAATAGGCAATTTAATACTCTGTAATTACTAATTACAAATAAAATACATGTGTATTTTTTCATGTTTAAGATGTGAATTATGAGTTTATAATATTTTTCCCCTGATGCCAAATTATATCTATGCAAAGAGATTTTGAAAAAAAAAAGTTAAACATGAATCACATTTTCAAAGAAATAAATTAAATATTTATAAGATGTTAGATAGGTCTTTACTTTTGTGATGCCACCAATAGCATGGACAACAATCTGATTCAATAGTCCAACACCCAATTGGTCACATGGTTGCATCCATTGGACCACACGACCCGGACCACAACCCATTTCCGCTTTCCATAAAAAAATAAAAGAGCGGCCGTTTTCAAGGACAGCCTTTCATCAGCTACTTCTGCCACAGCGCGACAGCAAGAGAAGAACCAAACCAAATCCCCCATTCATGTTTGTTCTCAATCCTCAATTTCTTCAAGAAAACAATATTAGAAATATAAAAAAACACCCATCATGATTATTCTGTTTTTATTGCTATAGCTGAAAAACCAATTACCCTTTTCTTGATTTCTCTCGGACCCTTTGTCAGCTTCAGCTGTATTATTGAGCCATACACACATTTCGTGAAAGCCTCCGTACTGTATTTCCTCATCAGCCTTTGTGGAATATCAGATACAGCCAGGATTGCCATTGTTTTCTTTCTCAGTGACCTTTTACTTTTGAAAGTGGCTTTCACAGAATGCTGAATAAAAATGTTGTCTTTTTGTGAAGAGAAATGGGGGTGAGGTTCTGAGTTGGGAGAATCCACACCATAAGAGAAGAAAGAGAGAAAGAAAGAAGCTTGAGAGGTGTTGTTTTTTGAGAAAGGATATGAGTGAAAGTGGAGGAATTGCAGCTTCTTCATTGGCTTTAGCAACTGAAAAAAAGCCTCAAAAGAGTGGAGGATGTGTGGGTCTCTTCTATCAGCTATTTGACTGGAAACGCAGGTTTGCCAAGAAGAATTTTTTCCCCAAGAAATTGCTTCCACCAGGTTTGCTACCTCTTAAATGACTTTCTTTCTTGCACCAGGTTAGTTTTTCTTTTTTTAAGATTTTAATTTTTTATTGTGTTGTGTTTGTGTTAGATCTTTGTAAACAAGGTTCTAAGAAGTTCGTGGGAGAAGAGAGGCACCCGAAGCTTCGATTGGTGTGTATGAAATTATGAATCCCGACAAAAGTGAAAATATTGAGCATTTCTTGAAATTTTCTTCAGCTTGGTTATTAAAATTTGGTGTTTTGGTTATGTGAATGCCATGTAGATTGCTGATGAGAACAGTGGCGGATTTCCCAGCAATATGAAGACTAACAAGTTCTGCAGTGTTAAATCTGAGAAGAAGAACGAAATGCGACCTCCTGGTCTGGTTGCTAGGCTCATGGGATTGGATTCCATGCCAGCTGTTTCAAGAGACAATAAGCCAAGGAAGGTTTTTCTGAATGATCAATCTTCTTCAGTCACTAATGAGAAAGAAGAGAATAAGTTTGGGGGGGAAGATGGGGTTTTTGCGAAGATGCGGGACTTTAGGCCTCAGAAGATTCAGAAGACAGGAACAAGTGAGAGGAGTCCGGTGACTAGGTTTGGAGCTGAGGCATTGCAAATAAAGAATATGCTTTCGCGATCAAAGAGGAAGAAGAATCACCACCACCACCCAAAGCTCGCTTCTCCTTTAAAAAGTGCTAAGAACGTTCCTGGGACCAGGTTGATAGGCGTTGCCAATAAGATTCTTGATCCCAGGGGTATGCAGAGGAGGAGTAGGGGAAAATATTTCCTGACCTCCTCAGACACTTTGCATCCACCTTCATCATGTAGAAACTGTGGGCACTCTCTTGACATTAAGGACTCCAGACCAAACCAAGAACAAGAATCTTTCCAAATTCCTTGTCAAGATTCAGAAACAAGTGTGCCTAAAGTGTCCTCATATGTCTTCCAAGAACAAAAGGAGAGGAGGGCTTTTACAAAAAGTTCATCGCATATTATTGGTCCTATACAGCATAGTCAGAAGCAAAACCAAATGTTTCCAGGGGGATATAATAGAGTTCCTGAGAGGGCATATTCTATCAGTGAGACAAAAGATGCCGTTGCATTGAACAAAAGCATAAACGGATGCACTAGAATGAGGATGCCAACAAAAGCAGAAAGATGTGATTTTGAAACAGAGAGAAGACTTTCCAATAGGAGAGCCGAATCCCTATCCCCGGCTCGTAAGAGAAGGTCTATGAATGTAACTTGCCAAAACGAAAGTTCGAGGTCCATCAGTCTTAGTTCACGGAAAGATTATTCAATGATTGGAAAAGAGCCAAGTGGCTCAAGACAGGATAGTGGCATTGCTCCATTCACTTTTAGATCTCCAGTGGACAAGAGGGCAGCGTTGCCAAGAAAATCTACCACGGTCATTCTTCAGGAGCTAAAATCTGCCTTAACAGCAGAGAGACAATTCCACAAGGATGGCTTTAATGTAAGATCAAACCGGAATAATACCACCTCTCATCCCCTTGATAGCTCAACAAAGTTTCTGGACACTTCTTTAGCCAAAGCCAAATTTTATAAGCCATTCGTCACTGGCCTTTCCAACAGCATTGCTGAAGTTCTACAAAAGTCCAAGCTTTTCTATGGATATTTGAAAGGATGCAAGCTAGAATACGCAAAGGAGGTGATTCTAAACACTGAACTAGTGGTTGGAAAATTTTCCATAACCCGTTTTGTTCTTGAGGATCTTGATACACTAGCGTGTGTTATAATGATGAGGTATAGTGACATCTTTGGCTTTCAGTCTACCAAACATGAGAATCAATTTAAACGGTTTGTCTTTGATTGTGTGTTAGAGTTCCTAGACTCTAAATGTGGTTTTGGAGCATGGACAAAGCTACCACCTTTTATGAACACGGAGATGTTAGTGTTTGAGATTCTTGAGGAGGTGAAATTGTGGGCCGCAACGACGGGTTTGGCTCATGATGAGCTCTTGGAATGGGACATGAATCGTTCTTTGGGGAAATGGACTGGTTTTGATATTGAGGTGTTGGAATGTAGTGCTGAGATCGGTCATCAAATTGTAGAGAAATTGGTTGAAGAAGTTGTAAATGATCTGTGAGACATTCTCAACATTCCATATTATTCTTCTCCAGCAAATCTTAACAAGAATGTTTGTAGAACAGCATTGTAGTGACTAACTCTGCATCTGTATTTTTTAAAGACAAATCTGCACCTGATTTCATTCTTAGTAACTGTCATTTGTACTCAAAGTTTGCAGTCTAAACATGTGCTTCTTTAATTTGTATGTCATGTTTTTTTTAAACCATTGCTTCTATCATAGTATGTGGGCATTTGTGCAGATACATCACAATTGAGAGGCTGTATTCTCTATTCATTCAAAAAGTTCTTTGTGTTTTTAATGACTTCAAAAGCTTCAAGAATTCGTTGAAATTCTATTGAACTTTTAAAGCGTATTTAGATGTTCTGTGAATTACTTCAACAGCCTTCAAAAAAAAGTCATGACTTTTTCATCAAATTTGTAAATTTTTGTTGTCTGATAACAACCCTCAAGCTTTAAAAGATAATTTTAAACTTAGGAATGATAGTGGAGGTACAAAGCTATAGAACAAACCTATCATTTCTATGAAGTTTAGGGATTAAAATGCAGCAAAACATCTAGGGTATAAAGAAAACAATTCTCTGTTTTTACATGGGCAAGACAGCATGGAATGAGTTGCTTTTTTTATATTAAAAAAATCACAAAAGTTAAAACAAGAACAAGACAGAACATAAGAAACATTGTCAAAGCATACACATCCATGTTTCAATTCAATTTCATAGTAGAAAAATGCAGGATAGGAGTGAGCTATTAGAACCAAAAGAAAAACAAACCCTTTCCTCTATACTGACTATACATTGTGGGAACTGATATATATGACTTATGAGTGTAGAAGAAACATTTTCTCAGGTCATTGAAACACACACAAAAATTGAAAGAAAGAATCAAAATCAATTCTCAAGAATTGAAGGAAAAGAACAGAAGTGGTAAAAAAAACATGAAACCCATTATCAAGAAAACATCATCACACCCTTCCTCCATGAATGACAAGCTTCAGAGCTGTCTATGTCCTAAGACAGTCTTGGGACCCACTCTGCTGCTATTTCTTCCTTTCCCAGCAGCTCGATTGTCTCCATTAATGGCATTCCTAGCAGCAGAAGCCAGCCCTTTAAACTCCTCCAGACAAGCGTAGCTCCTCCTCGCCATCAACCCCCCGCCACTCCTCTTATCCCCTGAATTCAGAGACTTACTCCCCACACCCCCAACAAGCTTCCCACTTTTCCTCCCATGGGGAGGAGGTGTCGCCGACTTCTCAACCACCGGCGGCGGTGGCGGTTTCCGGTTCTCCTTCCTCAAGGCGTAGGAGAAATCCGGCACTGACTGGGCCAAAACAGAGGACCCCTTGGATCTCCTCGGCGGGGTAACCATACTCCCCTGAAACTTGACCTGTTTCTTGGGAGGAGGAGGAGGAGGAGTCAATACCATCAAATCCTCCTCCTCTTCGTCTTCTTCAGGCTGTTTCGTGTGTTTCAACCTGAGCTTCGATTCCCTGAGATCGGCGTAGGCTCTGTACCTCGGCCCCCTCTCGAACATGAAGCTCTCCGTCGCGAGCTGCAAGAATTGCGGCTGGTCGGAGCTTGAAAACTGGGAGAGAAGCAGAGATTTAGAGTCGAGAGACTCGCCCATCATCTTCTTTGGGAGGGTTTTTTCTTGGTTCTCTTTCTCTGGCAGCCAGATGCTCTGGTTTGAGGTTTTTCTTTCTTCTTTTTGGAAATTGATGTTGCAACGGTCGGATGGAAGAAAGTCGGGAAAGGCGTAGAAATTTTGAACGTTTAAGTCAGAGAGAGAGAGATGAGTGATTGCGTCTTTCCTTTTGTTTTAAACGTTACTCTCTCCTTCAAGGGTGATTTTGTAATTAGCCTTGAGATATTTTTATAGTGAAATTTGCACTAAATAGGACTAAAACATAAGTCATTTTCCAATGTAAGACTTAAATTTTTTTATTCCTTAAATATGACTTAATAATGACTAATGAGAAGAATAATGTCCAAGTGATGTTGGACATTTAGTTGAATAATGACTAATAGATAATGACTAATGGTCCTACATTGGGAATTAAAAACATATGGTCCTATATTGAGAAAGTCATTATCTTTTAGTCCTATTTAGGTAAACTACCCTATTTTATACTCCGTATTGATTATAAATTCTTTCTTATCATATATTTTTATATATTTATTAATTTTTTATATCAACAGTTAGTTGTGTTGTGGAAAGCTTTGTGGTACATTTGAAATATACATTTTGGAGTATTTCTAACATTTTTTTATTATCAAACAGAATAAAATTTTAAGATCAACATTGAGAATTTTTAAACACTTGTCAGTTTTAACTGGAACAAATTGTTTAATCGTTAGTCACAAAAGTTCTATGATGAACATAATTAAATTCTAGCGTAGCTCTTAGGAATCAAATTCGAATACCTTTTGATATTTCTTCGTATCATCCTGGTACTATAGACTAGCTTGAAAATTGAAAATTGTTAAAGCTAAGACTTTTTTATATTAATTAAATAGGAGAAAGATCAGCTTATCATAAATATTTGCACCGTTATAAGCATCGCGGTAGGAGAAAGATCAGCTTAGCATAAATATTTGCACCGCTATAAGCATCGCGGTAGGAGAAAGATCAGCTTAGCATAAATATTTGCACCGCTATAAACATCGCGGTAGGAGAAAGATCAGATTAGCATAAATATTTGCCATGTCATGGGCCACGTGCGTGTCAAAACTACAACTAAGGAACTCTCTTGTACATAATGTGTGTGTGTGTGTGTTTGTGTGTATTTGTATGTATGTATGTATGTATGTATGTATTAATATACTACCTTCGTCAGATTGTCACAGTTTCACTTTTTTGGTCAAACGTAGCATTCTTTGACCACGAATTATAGAAAAAGTATATTTAATTATAATATAAGTTTAGTAAAATTGGGTTTATTTTAAAAAATATTTTTGAAAAATCAAAATTTTATAATATTTAATTATTTTAAACTATATTTAATTCGTAGTCAAAGAATGCCACTATTTGACCACAAAATTAAACTATTGCTATCTTTTAGTAACGAAGAGAGTATAATGTGTATGTGATTCGAAATACTTATTCTATAAGAGTTGAATATGGAGAGCTAGGAATGATTGTAGAACAAAATGTGTTGTGTTGTGAGGGATTGTGTTATTATGTCTTGTTTGGAAATAATGTATTCGATTCACATTGGTGTCTTGGATAAAATTTTAATAGTATCAATTAACTTTGAAAACATTGCAACTCAACACTTTCGTTTTGATAATATTTTCATAACGCTAACGTCAAACGTTGAAGGTGTTTTCAAGGATGCCATTAATAGTTAGTAGAGTTTTGTTTGTATGTGGTTGATGTATATATGAGACTTTGTTTTTCCTTTTTTGATTGTCCTATTGAAGTAAAATAAACAAAATAGTGGACATTATATTTGGTCACTTAAAATTTAAGATTTTTCATATTTAGACGTAAATATAAAGTTTGTGATCATTTGTTTACGGGTACTTATCGACGGGTACTCTTTGGTTTAACTTTTCGTCATGTTGGTATTAAATTGAAACCTCCTAAATAGGAGTAAAACATATGACATATCCTCAAAATAGAAGTTCAAACTTAAACTCCTCTAAATAGGAGTAATTAATTATGGATGGCTGCCATTATGGATGAGGTAAATTTACAAAGTGAAGCCACCCACTTTTCCTTCACAGCCCTTTCTCATATTTCCGGCAACATGGATGAGGTAAATTTACAAAATCAATGCCTTACCGCAATCGCAATTATACAAAATGATTAAAATTCACCTCATAAAAGGGGAGAGTATTAAATGGCTGCCATTATGGATGAGGTCATGTATGAATAAATAATACTCCATAATAATAATAATAATAATAATAATAATAATAATAATAATAATAATAATAATAATAATAATAATAAAACTCCATCGTAATAATAATAATAATAATACAACTTGAATTGCATCTTCATTAGGCATTGATTTTGGTTTAGTTTTTTCTTTTCATTTTTGTATTTGATTGTTTTTCTTTTAATTTTTTTGTTTGATTGCTTTTGTATTAGTTGTGTTTAGATTTTGCTCCCAATTTCAGCAAAATTTGGTGATAGTGACAAAACTTGATATATTGTATGTTGGCAATATTGACATTTCACTTTCTTTTTGATATTTTATGTTGACATATTTGGCATTATGCAATAACATGTTTGGCAGTATGCAATGACATGTTTGTCAGTATGCATTATCGTCTTTGACATTGTGGCTTTGGTTAACATTGTACTGAAAGCCTTTACACTTGGCAGTGACACCATGGCACTATGATGGCGACAATGGCAATCTTGATCACAACGTTTGTAGTAAATTGCGTCATTGACAATAGCAAATAGAGGCGATGGAGGCGGCATCCGCAACAAATGGGGATGAGAGCAGCAGATTACGGTGGCGATGACGACGATAGTGTCGACCGTGGCGGTGTTAGTGGCAGGATTGGTAGCAACAATGTAGATGGTGGCCGCATTTAATAGCGATGGTAGCAGGAGATTGTGGCGGTGGAGTGACGGCAACGACAGTGACATGTGGGCAAGACTGTAGCTAAATTAATTTTTTTAAATTTATATAATGTACTCCCTCCGTCCGGAAATATTCTTCCCGTGTTGACTTGGCACGCTTATTAAGGAATAGTAAAAAAATGCAAAATTTTCAAAAATGCACATACTATAAACTTTTAAATCTTCTTTTATTATTAAAAAAATACTAAAAAAATAGATTTGTGATAAAATAGAAAGGTATTATTGATATTTATCCTTAAAAAGTATACTAAAAAAGGAAATGGGAAGAATATTTCCGGACGGACCAAAAAGGAAAGTGGGAAGAATATTTCCGGACGGAGGGAGTATTTAATTTCATATTTGTAATATGAATATAATTTTTATTTTGTTACGTGGTCAATGTTTTTACTTCTATTTCGTTCTTTAACTCTAAGCCATTAGATTAATTAAGTTAATTACTCCTATTTAGGAGAGTTTATGTTTCAACTCTTATTTTGAGGATATGTCATATGTTTTACTACTATTTTGGTCCTTCTCCCATTAAATTGATGACAAAAAATGTAATTTCACACTAACTTTAGTCCAACTATGTACTTAGATGTTGTGGACTATGATTGTGGGGAGCGGTGAGCTGGTGACTTCAACATACAAGCAATACATAAAACAATGACATCTTTTCTGACATGAAATATGTAAGATCTATTAGAAATTACAACTTAACAATTAACAAACATAAAAAGAAAAATTATTAAGAAACATACTTAAAAACAAAGATCATGAATGCAATATTTATTTGCACAACACAAATATAATACTATGAGGTATTTGATAATAGAATGAAATATGAAAAACTACAACACCTTCATAATAAAAAATTGAGCAATGCTAGAAGTACACCAAAGATGTATCCCAATTGTACACCACATGCTTCTCCACCACACATCTTTATTTAATTTTTATTTTTTTAATTTTTTTTAAATCTATTGCCAATTATTGTGGATAAGGAAGAGTGGAGGACAATTGGGGTACACCTTTTAGTGTATCCCTAGCATTTTTCTAAAAAATTATAACGGAGATGGTAAAAACATTAAAAAAAGAAGAAAGATAAGGGTCGCAGAGCCCAACCGGTACGGTTTCGACCTGCGTCCTGCTATTGGTATGCCGGATGCCCCCCCCCCCCAGCTCTATACGCCACCCTGCACCTGCTTCGTCCATCGTCACTCCTGCAAGCTTTCCTCCAATTTCCATTTACAATTTCTTTTCCCCGTTTTCTCAGACTTCGACGCCCGCTTCTAAGCCGCTCTCTCTCAGCCGTTCCATCTCCTTCTTCCTCCCACATTCCCCCCCGCACAAAGTTCGAACTTCGAACTCAAGCTCATCGGCACAAAGCTCTCCTCCTGCTTGAATGTTGCATTCCGCCGTCGTTATCAACTCCCATCCTGGTAAGTTCCGCTCTCAATTCACTCCACCTTTACAACTAATCTCCCAATTTCATCGCTCAATTCTCCGTTTGGATCGGATGTTTCGTTTCTATCACCTCACCGTCTGTGTTTATTCCAAATCGGCGAGGATTCTCCATTTCTCCGGCGATGTTCCCAAAACAATCCTTATTGGAGCTTAATCAATGGCATTGCATTTGTTATTTCTTCGTATAATTTTGCTTTTAACTGTTGCGTCTGACTTTTTGGTAAAAACTACTCCCCGTATATTTAGTAGGGTTGACTAGCGAAACTGCTAAGATGCAAGCCTCGGCTTATGCATTCAAAGGAGACGCTGGATTTGGACGTGGGATTCGGCATCGAGGCTCAGAAGGATCTAAAAGCTTGAACCGTGGGAGGATTTTAGCCCGGAGCAATCTACCCATGACAGACAGGAGTAGCTGTTTCGGCGTCAAGATCGATTCCGCTTCCATGGGAATCGAGCTAGGCTGGGCTCAAGCCAGGGTACAGAGCGTCTTTGGAGGATCGGCCAAGCACAGGAGGATCAATGTTCACGCTTCTGGTACGTGAATATGTGATTTTACTGTGTTTGAGTACCCACATTTTCTTTTTTGTTGGTCCAAAAATTGAATTTTGCTTTGTTTATTATTTTTCCCTACTACATACTCCATACTTGAGAAAAGAATTATGTGTCCAGTACCTTATTCATGGAGGGAGGGAGGGAAAAGTATATCCACTTTGCACTGACTATATCCAACTTTTCTGACCAGGAATACGAGAAGAAGAGCATATGCTTACTTATATGACGATTGCATCTTTCCATGTCAT